ATCGCGGTCCCTTTCCCAAGACGTAGCAGCTTCGAGCTGCAGGGGTCGGTTCACCGCGTGATCAAAGGAGCCGCGTGATCAAAGGAAACGCTCTGACGACCGTCACCACCGGTGATTCGCAAGGTCAGATTTCGTCCCTGCTCGCGCGCGTCGAGTTGCGATGCAGCACCGGCTGCCCGCCTCCCATACATGTAGGGATCTAAAGCTCGATCGCTTATCTCCCACGTGCGCCCACCTGTAGCGGTAGCCGCAAAGGCAGCTCCAGCGGGCTGTTACCGCTGAGGAAGGGTCATGGCCCCTCCCCACGCGCAGCACTGTTCAAGGGCCTCGCTGGCTGGCGGTGGCGGGCGATGGGCACGCGCGGCGAGAATGTCGTCTTGAATGCGCTTTGCCTCGATGACCAATTCCTCCAAATCACGGAAGCGACTGCCGCACAGGTATGCCGAAAAGGTCCGGTGTGCCTGCCTGATCACCCATTTGATGCGCTCCTCGTTTGAAGCTCTGGGCTCAGGGATAGAAAAAAGGTCTTCCATCGCGCGTACGTACTCCTCAGCGACTCATCAGGAGCTTGTGTGCGGAGCTCGAGCTCGCGCCGCATCCTACTCTCGTAGTCAGCGCGTAAGATTTCACGCAGGAAGGCCGTGCGTAACTCATTGGGGGTTGCCGCTCGATGGCCGGAAAGCCGATGCCGCCTGGCCGCCGTGTCAGTCAGTGCAGCCGGGACGACGCGTCCGAGCACTTCCTGGTCGTCTATATTCATGGCTCTCTGATAACATGTGAGAGAGTCCAGGTAATCTCTTGCACTTTGCAGATCACCATACCCACTGTAGGTCGGAACGGCCAACATGACAGCGGAATGAGGGCGTTTCGGAACAGCCGAAAGCATTTGGACTGCCCCCGTGAGTGCCTGAATCATTTGGGCGGCATTTTGCAGCAGCGTCTGTGCACCCGCTTCAAAGGAAGCTATCAGTGCATTAGCGGCACGGGCGAGCGATGGGGAAGTGTCTCCGAGCTCGATAAGCGGCACGGTTTCAAAATGGATACTGGCCGTCACGACATTGGGAAGCGCCTGTTATTCACAGCTGCCTTTTGGGGCAGCCTCACGTAAAATTGCTAGGCCGCTTGCGGCTAGCGGTACAGGCGCGTGCTCGAAATGAGCCTGGCTGCTAGATTGCGTAGTAGCCAGCGGGCAAATTTCGGCAATGGCTGGGGCCACGGTGCCGATCTGCGCCCCGCAAGCTCCACTGAGAGCCGTTTCGGAGCGCTGTGACATGGAACTGCCATGCATTCCAAAGGAAGCAGTAGCAATCCCATTCGCCCGCATGCACTGTTCGGGTTGGGCTATGGCCCCGTACCCATAACATGCTATCACTCCAGTGGGAGCTGTTATGTAGCGCCTCGTGTCATCCCGACTGCGGCTTGTGACAAGTGAGGGTGCGCGATTGTGATGCTCAAGGGGGGCACTGGCCCTGTTCTCGAGCAATGCGGTATCTGCTAAAAGCGTCAGCTAACAAAACTCACGCGGAGCAGACATAACGCGGGTAAACATGGCGAGCCTGATTCGCACAGGCGGCTGACTCAGATAAGACTAATCAAAGGCTTAATAAGCCTTTGATACCGCGTTGGGCGCCAGTATGGTGACCCCGCTACTAACTGCAGCGGATGATCACCGCGGGTTCACGCTTAGCGAGCCACAGGGCCGCGACTCCGTCACCTCCTCGCGTGTGGCGCACCACTCCGCGCACCCTCAACTAATCAGGCGTTTAGCGCGGCGCGGCAAACAGACAGTGTTCCAATACAAAACACACAACACTTTATTGCCTTTGGTGGCACCCCAAACAACAGTAAAATGTCCTCTCCCGGGACGCGAGGAGCAAAGGCACCCGCACACGGACGTTCACAATAAGGGGAAACCGTGAGTACGTCGCAGCTGGAAATGGCGAGCTTTGACATGCCGGTCCAGAAAAGGTCCCGAGAGAGAGCTCCCTCGACGCGCACGTAACACATGCCGCGCCAACACATGGCGCCATCTATCGCCATGCGCCGTCACCAGAGCAGAAAAAGCAAAAGGGTGTGGCCGTGTGACGGAATGCCCGGGAAATGGTCGCGGGCGCGCCTCGGATCCCCACAGTGTTTATGCGGTGGGTCATACCAGTAGCTTTTCCCAACGGACGGTCGCTGAAATAAAAAATGTTGATGTAGGACAGCAGAACCCAGTGGAGCTCGTCAGTCTGCTGCGGCATTAAATTGGAAGTGTTCATTGACCTAATTTCGCTGTCAGAGCAAGTGTCAGATTGTTGTTGAGCGTGGGGGTCAGAAGAAGCGGCCATCGTAAAAACATCTACCGCGTTGTCTTCAAAGGTGCAGAGCAACACCAAAGAGATTGCTTGTGGCAGCACTTGAGGTGTCAAACTAAAGTTGACAACTGGAAGGCACGTAGCATTCCCTGCGACGGACAGAATTGTGTGCGGTAATGTAATGTCGCGTTTTATGAGGACATCGGTGAGATAGGGGTCAGAACATAGTCACCATCGAGAACTGGTGGTATTGAGATGAGCTCTACCTAGGTCAGTGTCTGTGGAGGGAGGCGCGCGTGTCCCGTTGTGCAGAGGTGACTCGGCCGTTGTGTAAGAGGTTCTGTTGCGGGCAAGTGTAGACGGAGCGTACTGGTCGAACAGTCTATGAGGGCAGAATGCGCGGACAGGAAGTCGAGGCCTAAGATTACGTCGTGGGGGCATTTATCAAGGACGGTGAAGAGAACAACTGTGTGTCGATCAGCAATGCTTACACGAGCGGAGCACATTCCAACGATAGATGCTATTCCACCATTCGCAACACGAACGAACTGAGAGGTCGCAGGTGTGAGAACCTTCTTGAGCTTGCGGCGAAAATCACTCTTCATAACGGAAAGTTGACCGCCGGTGTCGACAACAGCAGTGACATGTACGGCGTTTACTTGTATGTCTATAAGGTTCCGTTTTGTCTGTATTATCAAGAGAAGATTTGCTGTCAGTCCGAGCGATGCAGCGCCACCTCCGGGGGCTGCAACACTTGGTTTTCCGCTGGAGAACTTCGTGGGAAGGCGGGAAAAGATGGTCGGCGGGGCAGTGGAGAACGAGACTGGCGACATTGGGGGGATAAAGAGCGGGAGTAGCCGTGTTCAGTAGCAGGTACCTGGGCAAAATGGTCACGGCTGATATCATTGCGATAGGGGGGACGTGCATGGAAGGTACGAGAGAAAGCTTGTGCAGGAGGACTCCAGCGACTTCTGCATTGGCGAGAAATGTGCCCGATTCGGTGACAGGAGAAGCAGATCGGCTTGTCATTGTGTGCTCGCCATGTGGATGGATTACGGAATGTTGAGGAAGAGCCAGTCCAGAAGGGACGTGCAGGCGTGTATTGGGGCTGGAAGTCGGTGGGGTGGGGGCGATGAAATTGAGCCAATTCCCAAGCTGGCGATTTCCTGCCGGATGACTGCTTGAATGAGGGGCAACGTAATTGGAGGAGAGGGGTCAGAGAACGTTGGTCCCACCTTAGCTGGAGCAGCCGCTTGAAGTTCCCGCCTGATGAGTCGGGTCAAGTTGTCACAGGTGTCTGGTGGATGATATGTGTTGAGACACGAGGATGTCGCAGCGGTGTTCGGAAGGCACTGGAACTGAAGGGAGATGCGCCTGCTTTTAGCTTGTTGGAACCAGCGGCATTCTTAAATAATGGCATCAACAGATGACACATTATTGAATACCAACAAGCAGAACACATCGTCGGCGATAGCCTTTAGAATATGCGCAACGTTGTCAGGCTCGGGCATGTTTTCGTCAGCTTAGCGGCATAGTGCGAGGACAGCCTGAATGTAACTGATGTAGGACTCTGTGGAAGTTTGTGCACCAGTCTACAACTCATTCGTTGCAGCTTGACGACGGCCAAAGAGGTTCCCAAAAAGCTCCCGAATATTTTCCTTGAAGCTGTCCCAGCTTGTAATGTCATGCTCGTGGTTGTCCGTCGACATAAAAGATGACATTCGCGAGCATAAGTGTGGGATCCCACCTGTGAGTGGCGCTGACGCATCCGTATAGGCGTAGCCACTGGTCGACGTTGGAACCCTCGCGGCCCGAGAACACGCCAGTGTCTTTGAGGGTGGGAAGCGTCGCGAAAGTTTTTGCGGGCGCTGGGTTGACAGGCCGGGCAGATGGGCGGGCGACCGCAGAGGATGTAGCCGAGTCTTGAGTGGTCATGTTGAAAGCCTCGAGGGAGCGTCCGCTTTGGCGTTCCATGGCGAAGACAGAGATCGCACAACTCCACCAAATATGTTACAAGAAAAAGACCCGACTCAGAGGAGCAGTCACAGATGTATTTACAGCCGGTTAAGAGAGCAGCGCCAGCCACAGAGATTAGCTCGCGCCAGTCTATCTGCTTTGTTTTCTTCATCTCCATGCACTGGCACGTAGCAATATTATGTTTTTGTACTGTGCACACTTAGTGGGCCATTTCAGATGCGTTTGTCCACATCTCTCAGATACATATGCAGTGCTGCTGATTGCATCACTCGGATTCTGCGAGTCCCTTCTCCGATGCTATCCTTCACAACCAAAAGCTTCTGCAGCAACATCTGGGCTACCAGAAATTCTACAGTGGTGGGGGTTCCTATAAGATTTTTTGGCACCTGTTTTATTCCAGAACACAAACCAAAATCTTGTGTTTTTTATTTTTTCTCCACTGGAATCCACCCACCAAAGCGAGAAACCAAATTCGTGGCTTCTGCTGATCTACAGAATGACGTAGTATATAAGCTTGGGATCTTGAATGTAAGGTTATGCTAATTTCATTTGATTTCACTGCACAGTATTGCAATTTATTTTGTCAAAGCAAGTCGTCATAAATCAGCAAAATAAGGGGCTAAGAATAAAGGACTTGCTTAATTACACAATTCATCAATTATAGGTCCAGCCATTTAGTGCAATGAATGTTTGTCAAAAGACTTGGAAGAGCAAGGGGCTACGTACGGTCGTGGAAGCGAAGCATCGAGAGGGCTACCAGCACGAGAATGGACCCGAGAGGAGGCTGCTGAGGAGAGGTTGCGCTTGGAGGCCATTTGGCGCAGGGCGTTGGTGGCACGTTCAATGGAGCTGTGTTGTTCTACCTGCGTACTGTGCACGATGTCAGCCACAGAGGGAACAGAGGTTTAAACACTCATGCAGCAGAGGTTTAAACACTCATGCAGAAGTACCAGCTTCCTCACCTCGGGATTTCCTCTCTGAAAATAAAGGAGAATAAGCAGTGTCAACAGAGAGAACAACTTACAATGGGGTATCTTTTGCTAGGGATGTACAAATAGTAAATTTTAGGCTTGAAGCAAATTGTGATTCGGTTGAATAATGTCTAATCAAATAATATATATCACATGACCTAATTAACCTGCCCAATATATATATATATATATATATATGTATGTATAGGTATGGGATATGGCACAACGGGAGCGTTGTCAACAAGGATAAATATATTTATTTCCCAACAGTTTCGGGAGGGGACCTCCCTTCATCAGGGGATGAGTTATACCCTTCATCAGGGGATGAGTTATACTCATCCCCTGATGAAGGGAGGTCCCCTCCCGAAACTGTTGGGAAATAAATATATTTATCCTTGTTGACAACGCTCCCGTTGTGCCATATCCCATACCTTCACGAAGACTAACTGGCCCATTGAATTATTACTCCCACTATATATATATATATATATATATATATATATATATATATATATATATATATATATATATATATATATTAAACTGGAACAAGGCACGTGCAAATTTCATTCTTTTTGGTTCAAACTGAAGTGCAAGCAACATTGGATAGCAAGATTTGAATTTCAGTACCACGCGAGTGATAACCAGCCAAATACATTACATTTTAAAATTTACTGTACTTATAAAATATAAGACTTTATCACGAGCTTTCAAACTAAAAAGTGGTTCCTCGATGTGAGCGTAATATGTTCATTTAACGTTGATGTTAAGCCTCGCAACAGTGCCATTTTTCCTAAATGGGTGTTTTCATGGCATAGCATGTCATGCTGCAGTAAAACCATTTTTACAGAGGGGTTGCAATTCGGTCTAATATACCTACACCTATTTGATCATTTTGAATACTTCGGAATTTTGAATAATTAAATTTGTGTCAAAGTGAATTTAAATATAATATTTGTTTGAACATACAAAGCCCACGAACATTCACACATGCCTATCTTTTGCCCTCCTAGCCAGAGCCTTACCCAGCAATTTTTTTCGGGATGTGTTTATGTGTAGAGTACGGCTAACTTTCGCAACTGGTGGTCGATGATAAAATGCATAAGAATCTTAGTGTTGCCCAAAAAATTGAAACATGAAAAAATTTCGGGGATGTCAAAATCGGCCCTGCTCCTAACTAGGTTCACATGTAAGTTAATTTTTTTGAATAAATTTTCATATTTGATTCACTAATTAATATTGTCAATGATTCAATTCAATGTCACAAAGGAACACAGAAACAATGAGAAATGCTATAATGAAGAACTCCTGGATAATTTCAACCAGCTGAGACTCCCTAAAATATGCTTCACCAGCCTCCATACGAACCTGGGTTAGACAATGGTAGTTGTAGGCATCATATGGAAACAGTTTTATCAAATCTGCACATTAATGGGGGTGTTACAAGATATTGAACTGTCCTGCTGCAGTGCTGCCAGAAGACGAGCTTCACAGCCAAACAGAATTTCTTTTCTGCATTGTAGTATGTTCTAGAGGCTTAGTTTGCCTAACTTAAGATTTTGCTATATTTAGCTTCAAGGCACATTTCCAGTAGTGCATGTTTGGCAATGGATGATTAACTGTAGCTACAAGCCGTGGTCAGCGACACTGAAAGCAGTGCGAGTGACCACTCTCGTGCTCACAGCATGATTACCTTGATATGAAGGCTTCTAATTGAAATTTCAACTACTTTCGTTCTTACACAGCTGTTTCCTGCTCTGCAGACATGACTGCCCACTGAGTGATCAACACTACACTAATTTGGTTGTAGTGCGCAGCCCAACTGAAAGGCCCTTTACAGGAGTAGACAGAAAATTTCGAAGGTGAGATAACTTGCAGGACCGATTTTTGTGAATGCACCCAACTTATCTGCAATATATGAATCACAAATTTGGGCAGAACATATATACAATCAATGCTAACATGTGTGCCTGACAACTGAGCACACAAAGAACCTCACAACATCAATTCGTTTAGTATGTAAATAACAACCATCATCATCATCATACGCCTGACTATTCCCACTGCAGGGCAAAGGCCTCTCCCATGTTCTGCGAATCAACGCAGTTTTCTGCTTTGTGTTGCCACGTTACACCTGCTAACTTCTAAACTTCATCTGCCCAGCTAACTTTTTGTCTCCCTCTCACGTGCTTGCCTTCTCTTGGAATCCAGTCAGTTACCCCTGCAGTGCTTATCCTGCCTATGCGTTATGGGCCCAGCCCATGTGCATTTGTTCTCCTTGATTTCAACTATCATATCCTTAACCTCCATTTGTTCTCGGACCCACTCTGCTCTTTTGCTGTTTTTTAAGGTTACACCTATCATTTTAAGTTGAACCCTCTTTGTAAGCATTTGGGTTTCTGCTCCATACATGAGTACCGCTAAAACGCAGTTGTTATATACCTTCCTCTGGATTGATTAATATGTGGGGTTTAACGTCCCAAAACCACCATATTGCTACGTGCCAGTACATGGAGCTCAAGAAGACAAAGCAGATAGACTGGCGCGAGCTAATTTGTGTGGCTGACGCTGCTCGCCTAAACGGCTGTAAATACATCGGTGACCACCCCTCTGAGTCAGTCTCCTTCCCGTAACATATTTGATGGAGTTGTGCGATCCCCGTCCTCGGCACGGAACTCCGAAGCGGACGCTCCCTCGCGGCTTACAACATGACCACTCAAGACTCGGCTACATCCTCTCCAGTCACTCTCCCTTCTGCCCGACCTGTCAACCCAGCGCCCGCAACAACTTCCGTGACGCTTCCCGCGCTCAAAGACCCCGGCGTGTTCTCGGGCAGCGAGGGTTCCGACGTCGACCAGTGGCTACGCCTCTACGAACGCGCCAGCGCCACTTACAGGTGGGATCCCACTCTTATGCTCGCAAACGTCATCTTTTATCTCGACGGAACCCCTCGTGTTTGGTTTGATAACCATGAGCATGACATAACAAGCTGGGACAGCTTCAAGGCAAAGATCCGTGAGCTTTTTGGCAACATCTCTGGTCGTCGTGAAGCTGCGAAAAATGAGTTGTCGATTCGCGCACAATCTTCCACGGAGCCCTACATCGGTTATATTCAGGCTGTCCTTTCACTATGCCGCCAAGCTGACGAAAATATGTCTGAACCTGAAAAAGTTGCGCATATCCTAAAGGATATCGCCGAGGATGCGTTCAACTTGTTGGTATTCTACAATGTGTCATCTGTTGATGTGATCATTCAAGAATGCCGCCGGTTCCAACAAGCTAAAAGCAGACGCATCTCCCATCAGTTCCAGCGCCTCCCGAACACCACTGCGACGTCCTCGTGTCTCGACACATATCATTCACCAGACGAGACTTGTGACAACTTGACGCGAATCATCAGGCGGGAGCTTGAAGCGGCTGCTCCAGCTAAGGTGGGACCAACGTGCCCCGACCCCTCTCCGCCAATTACGTTGCCTCTCATTCAAGCAGTCGTCCAGCAGGAAATCGCCAGCTTGGGAATTTGCTCTATTTCACCGCCCCCACCCCACCGACTTCCAGCCCCAATACACGCCTGCACGTCCCTTCCCGACCGGCTCTCCCTCAACGTTCCGTAATCCGTCCTCATGGCGAACACACGATGACAAGCCTATATGCTTCTCGTGTCACAGATTCGGGCACATTTCATGCCACTGCAGAAGTCGCTGGGGTCCTCCTGCACAACCGTCCTCTCATCCCTTCTATGCACGTCCTGCCTATCGCCATGAGGCCAGCTGCAACCATTTTGCCCAGGAATCTGCTTCTGAACACCGCTACTCCCGCTCTCCATCCCCCCAATGTCACCAGTCTCGTTCTCCACAGCCCCGCCGAGCATCTTCCCCCGCCTTCGCACGAGGTTCCGTGACGGAAAACTAAGCGTTGCAGCCCCGGAGGTGGTGCTGCATCGCTCGGACTGACCGAAAATCCTCTTTTGACGATACCGACAAAACGGAACCTCATAGATGTACAAGTACACGGCGTACATGTCACTGCTCTTGTCGACACCGGCGCCCAACTTTCCGTGATGATGAGCGATTTTCGCCGCAAGCTCAAGAAGGTTCTCACACCTGCGACCACTCAGTTCGTCCGTGTTGCGGATGGTGGAATAGCATCTATCGTTGGAATGTGCTCCGCTCGTGTGAGCATTGCGGATCGACACACAGTTGTTCTCTTCACCGTCCTTGATAAATGCCCCCACGACGTAATCTTAGGCCTCGACTTCCTGTCCGCGCATTCTGCCCTCATAGACTGTTCGACCAGTACGCTCCGTCTACACTTGCCCGCAACAGAACCTCTTACACAACGGCCGAGTCGCCTCTGCACAACGGGACACGCGCGCCTCCCTCCACAGACACTGACCTACATAGAGCTCGTCTCAATACGACCAGTTCCCGACGGTGACCATGTTCTGACCCCTATCACCGATGTTCTCATAAGCCGTGGCATTACATTACCGCACACCATTCTGTCCGTCGCAGGAAATTCTACGTGCCTCCCAGTTGTCAACTTTAGCTTGACACCTCAAGTTTTGCCACAAGGGATCTCTTTGGCGTTGCTCTGCACCTTAGAAGACAATGCGGTAGATGTTTTCGCGATGGCCGCCCTTTCTGACCTCCACGCTCCACATCAATCTGCCACTTGCTCCGACAGCGCTATTACTTCGATGATCGCTTCCAACTTAACGCCGCAGCAGACTGATGAGCTCCACCGGGTTCTGCTGTCCTACATCGACGTTTTTGACATCAGCGGCCGTCCGTTGGGGAAAGCTACCGGTATGAGCCACAGCATAAACACTGGTAATGAGCATCCTATTCATAGGCGCCCATATCGGGTGTCGGCGGCCGAGCGTCACATCATCCAAAGTGAGGTCGACAAAATGCTCGCCAAGGACATTATTGAGCCATCCTGCAGTCCTTGGGCTTCTCCTGTAGTGCTAGTCCGCAAGAAAGACAATGCATGGCGTTTCTGTGTGGATTATCGACACCTAAACAAAATTACCAAAAAAGACGTCTACCCTCTGCCACGAATAGATGATGCGCTTGATTGCCTCTATGGGTCCCACTATTTTTCCTCCATAGACCTTCGTTTCGGCTACTGGCAGATAGAGGTAAATGAAATGGACCGTGAAAAGACGGCATTCATCACCCCCGATGGCCTACATCAGTTCAAGGTCATGCCCTTCGGCCTTTGTAACGCTCCAGCCACCTTCGAATGAATGATGGACTCCCTGCTCAGAGGTTTCAAATGGTCCACCTGTTTGTGCTACTTGGACGACGTCATCGTCTTTTCACCAACATTTGAAACTCACATAGAGCGCCTCTCAGCCATCCTGGGAATCTTCCGTCGCACTGGCCTGCAGCTCAACTCGTCCAAATGTCACTTTGGACGCCATCAAATCACAGTGCTTGGCCATTTAGTAGACGCCAACGGTTTTACAACCAGACCCGGCAAAAATCAGCGCTGTAAAGAACTTTCCTGTACCACGATCTGCGAAGGATGTACGCAGCTTTATCAGACTATGCTCCTACTTCCAACGCTTCGTGAAAAATTTTGCGCACATAGCGAGGCTGCTTACACAGCTGCTCAAGACAGAAGTCCCGTTTTCATGGGGCTCCGAAGAGGCTTCTGCGTTCTCGACTCTCGTCACTCTTCTCACTACCCCTCCGATTCTGGCACACTTCAACCCTGCTGCCCCTACGGAAATCCGTACAGATGCAAGTGGGCATGGCATGGGTGCAGTGCTGGCTCAGAAACATGGCCATGATTGTGTTATTGCATATGCCAGCCGCTTCCTATCCGCCCCTGAACCTAACTATTCGATAACAGAGCGTGAGTGCTAGGCTCTTGTATGGGCGGTGGCGAAATTTCGACCTTATCTATACGGACGCCCATTTTCGGTAGTTACCGACCACCACGCACTCTGCTCGCTCAACTCTCTGAAAGATCCATCAGGCCGCCTTGGTCGCTGGGCTTTGCGCCTGCAAGAGTTTTCCTATTCGGTGGTCTACAAATCTGGCCACCTACACCATGATGCCGATTGCCTCTCCCGGTACCCTGTCGACGATCTTGAGGACACTGACGAGCCCACGGAGAACTCTATCTTGTCAGTGTCCAACTTCCTCTATATTGGGGAAGAACAGAAGCGTGATCCAGAGATGCTTGACATCATCGACCGTATGGAATCCTCCACAAATGATGTTTCCGTCCGCTACTTTGTTATTCAAAAGGGTGTGCTATACCGTCGCAATTTCCGACCAGACGGGCCCGACCTTCTCATTGTTGTGCCTAAGCATTTGGGCCGCTGTGTTCTCATCGAACTTCACGACGCTCCCACGGCTGGACACCTTGGCGTATCCCGCACGTACGAGCGCGTCCGGCGCCGTTTTTTCTGGCCAGGCCTTGCTCGTTCGGTGCGCCGATACGTTGCCACGTGTCACCTATGCCAACGTCGTAAAACACCGTTGCTGCTACCCGCTGGCCATCTTCAACCAATTGACATACCCGCGGAACCATTTTACCGTGTTGTGTTAGACCTGCTTGGTCCTTTTCCCACATCAACATTTGGAAACAAATGGATAGCCGTTATTACAGACTATGCTACACGCTACGCTATTACGCGAGCTCTACCGATCAGCTGTGCAACCGACGTCGCTGACTTCTTGTTACGGGACATTATATTGATTCACGGTGCTCCGAGACAGCTTCTCACAGACCGTGGCCGTACATTTCTATCCCAAGTCATCGCCGACATTCTGCGTTCTTGTTCCACGCAACACACACTGACAACCGCAAACCACCCTCCAACAAATGGCCTCACGGAACGATTTAACCGCACTTTAACAAATATGCTCGCTATGTACGTGTCGCCCGACCACCGAGACTGGGACCTTGCCTTACCCTACGCAACTTTCGCATATAATTCATCCCGTCACGACACAGCGGGCTTTTCGCCGTTTTACTTATTGTACGGAATAGAGCCGACTTTACCACTGGACACAGTCATCTCAGCTCACACCTCGTCCACCAGCGAGTATGCCCGCGACGCGATTGCGCGAGCCGATCATGCCCGTCAGCTCGCTCGCGCTCGGCTGATGGCGTCGCAAACCAACCAATGCCGTCGGTACGATGTGGAACATAGAGACGTACATTTCGCTCCCGGTACCCTCGTTTTACTCTGGTTCCCTCATCGTCGGCTGGGCCTATCCGAAAAACTTCATTACACGGGACCCTACCGTATATTGCGTCAAGTAACACCTGTCACCTACGAGATCAGCCCCATCTGTCCATCATCATCTACTCAACACAAGAACGACGTCAGGAAGATGGAAGTGCAACGTAGCGCTCTGGCGGAGCACTGCGAGAAGCACGACCATAAAATTGACTTAGACGGCGCTTCTGTTATTGAAACAGAACGGAATTTGGGAAAGAGGCTCTTGCTCGAGTCTTGGCACATTCAGCATACGCCTGCCAACGTGAACCGCTCGCTGGGAACAATGCCTTCGGTGTACGTTCACGGTCTCCGAAACGTGGTGGAAAGGGAAAGCCGGAGCCGTGGTGAGAGAACACGACGCGACGACACTTCCATGACCAAGACAGTCACCCCCTGAGGAAGGGACCGAGTCGGTCTCGAAACGTCGGACTCTATTTGAACTGTGGCTGGAGCAATTTCAATTTTCTAAACTTTTCTACCCAGCCAGACAGATTGCTGTCAAAATGTTTACGTTTAAATCATCTACTATGCGGCCCAGTGATATCGTACACGTCTCGCAGATCAAGCCCTACAATAATGCGTCAGATAACGACCTTTAAAGCACCGGGACGGTGCCTCCGCCACCGGGGGTCATGCTACGTGCCAGTGCATGGAGCTGAAGAAGACAAAGCAGATAGACTGGCGCGAGCTAATTTGTGTGGCTGGCGCTGCTCGCCTAACCGGCTGTAAATACATCGGTGATTACCCCTCTGAGTCAGTGTCCTTCCCGTAACAATATGATTATGAGCGATGCCATAGTGGAGGGCCCCCGTAATTTCGACCTCCTGGGGTTCTTTAACGTGCACCCAAATCTACCTTGCTGGGGAGAAATAGTGGTAAACTACCATTTATGATTTGAGAATGCTTGTAAAATGTGCTTTGCAATTATTCCTCATCATCAAATAGTCTATACAATTGTCCCCTATCAGGGTGCCACTGTAATTGCTGGGAATCAAATACAGTAAAACCTCGTTAATTTGAAGTCACTGGGGCCGCGAGAATTCTTCGAATTAAGCGGGTTTGCGATTTAACAGAACGTACAAAAAGTCAGATGGAAGAAACTTAATGATTCAATTTAATCAGGGGTTGTCGTTTGCTGTGTCCGGCTAGCTTGCGGCTCCAAAGGTTATGTTCTTTAGCGATACCTCATCTTACTTGTGCTGCGGAAAACAAGACATCTTCACTGCAGTGCAGTAGTGACATGGGGGCAGCATATCACATGTTTTTTGCTGCGTCTGCATGTCACGATGCGACCATTTATGCATTTTTTCTGGTATAATTAGGAATTTAATCATGGCCAGCATGACGAAACCCGCGATGTGTTTTGGCTGGAAAAAATTATCTTTGAAACTTTTGAACTTGATTTTCGAAGTTGGTGTTGCTGGCAAGAACTCCACCAGCAGTGCAAACGCGCGAATATCTGTAGCAACTGGCAACTGGAGGTTTTCATACATCGCGAATTCCGCCAAACTGTCCTTTATTCATTTATTTATTATCCCAGAAATAATGGGTAAACCATGACCCGCTGACATTGCGGGAAACATGCAATATGTTGCTCGTGTGTCACTACTGTATTGCAATGAAGCATGCCTCATTTTCCGCAGGTGCACATTCCGGTTGGCCATGAGACCTTTTTTTTGCGATGGAAGAAGTGAGGCTGGGGTGCTTCAGCTTCCACTTATTGGTATCACTACGTTGCATCGCCTTGCGGCTCGGGATCTGAAAATCGGGATCTGAAACTGGCACGTGGCACCCAAAGTTTTCAAATTAATTGGACTGGTGCCGGCTGCCACTTTAAATTATCTAGCCAAACTTGCGTTCCAAAATACAGGACCACGGGAATCTTTCAAGTTATGCAAAATTTCAAAATAATCTAGTTCCAATTAATGAGGTTTTACTCTATATGACCAGTGACCAAAGGGAGCACTTGTCATTCATTGTCACAGCAAGAACATATATACTTACTCGTGCTGGCAGCACATGAAGCAGGTGAGTGTACTGAGCAGCATAGCCGTGACAAATCCGGGCAGCAGCAGAGAGAGCAGAAAGTCCGACAGCAAGTCCCTTCTAGGTAGGTGTCCCATATCGGGTGGATTATAACTGTCCTCTTCTAGTGGGATGGGTGAGAAGGCAGCGTCTTGGTGCTGCATCATTCCTTCGCCATCTAGTTGCTCAGGCAGCTGCACCAACAATGAATTCACAATGCTAATATGATGCCAAAAAAACGGACAAGAGAAATTCCAAGGTAACTTGCTGGCATAGCTGCAAGGGTTACAGTTGATCTGCTGCCACGAAACTGTGACATACGATGATACTCCTACTAATAAAATGCACAAAATTGCCAATTCTTCACAAGGCAGCTCGCACTCGCATTTGACAGAGAGAAGCTTGCTTTCATGTCTAGGTAGAATTCCATGAAATACTTCATAGGGACCTTCTACCAGACTTCCTTGTCTTGAAAGAGGCAGACAAAAATACATTTTGCTTTAAGCACAATGCTACCACAAACCACCAAAAGGACGAACTATAGCACATCAGCAGGACACAGATGCCAAATAAATTGCTACATATGTAGATAAGCAAGGACTTGGCAATTTTCGTGGAGTTGCACACAAAAATATAGTTGGAAAGATACTCTGTAATACATGATTTCACAGAATTTACAAGCTCTGTGCTTTGGGAAGGAAACGTAAAAAGGGGATGTAGCTTTAAAGAAATAAGACGCTATTGCTGAGGGCTCATTATTATGCTACAAAAACTTGAATAAATACTTGCACAATATGTCTGAGCGGGAATGCAAAACTCTTTCACTTCCTGATCCATACAAACACATATCAGATTAATTGGTGCCCCTGTGAAACTGGAGGCAACATGCAATGAAAATTTGGTCTCCTGTCAATAATAACTATCATGTCATGCTATTCGATAGTTTTGGTGAGAAATAGAGAGAGAAAATGCACTTCATTTGCACCCGCCCTAAATTGTGAATGATGAGGGTGAGATGATGCTCCCCTCTTTCACCGTCTAGTTCGCCCTACATGTAAGCCCGAAACAGTTGGCTAAAAGCTAGAGGTGTGCAAATTTTTGAAAGTTTCGAATATTCGGTGAATATTGCATTTGTAATATTCGTATCCAATTCGATAACCACATGTTTGAAAATTTCAAATAATCAAACTAGCCCGAATATTCCTCGAATAATCGATGTTCACGAATATTTGTTTGTATGTTCGTGCGATTATTCGAATGCTTTGGATATTCAAATTAATATTAGGGTAATTGAATTCACTTCAGTTTGAATTTAAATTATTGATATTTCAAAGTATTCGCAAGGAACCAATAGGTGCATATCAATCTGAATGTACCACTTGTAAAGGTGGTTTCACTTCAGTGTAGAAGTTCTGAACAGGGTCCGCATACAAGCCGCGCTTGTGTGAGAAAAGTAGGGTAACGGTTTTCTGGGTAGAAAAGCGAAAGCCATTTTGATCTGCCCATTTGGTCAGTTTGTTGATGGTTAGCTGCAGCTGCCTTTCACATGTGGATATGCTTGAGGCTCGACATGCTATCTGAAGATCCTCAACATATAATGAGTACATGATGGAGGGTGGGATTACTTCATTAACTGAATTCATTTTGACTACAAAGAGTGTAGTGCTTAACACGCAACCCTGCGGCACACCATTCTCTTGGACAAAAACACGCGATAGTGTGGAGCCCAACCGTACCTGAAAGTTTCGGTTTGATAGAAAGTCAAAGAGGCAATTAAGCATTCTTCCGCGTATTCTGAGATTCGCCAGGTCTCTCAGTATACCGTACCTCCACGTAGTGTCGTAGGCCTTCTCCAGGTCAAAAAACACTGCTAGGCAGTGTTGCCTATGTAAGAAGGCCTCACGTACTGTGTGTTCGAGACGAACAAGATGATCGATCGTTGAATGGCCTCTCTTATACCCACATTGATGATCATCTAGTAGGTTGTCTATTTCAAGGGTGTATGTTAGTCTTATGTTTATTATGCTTTCGTATGATTTTGCCATACAGCTTGTAAGTGCTATAGGCCTATAGCTACCTGGTGAAGTGGGTGGTTTTTTAATTTTTAAAAATGGCACTATGATCGCCATTTTCCATTTTGTGGGCATTTTGCCAGTTTTCCAAATCACGTTAAAGAACTTCAATAATGCTTGCACAACAGCTTGAGACAGGTGCGCGAGCATTGTGTAATGAATTCTGTCTGGCCCAACTGCTGTCTTTTTTCTCGCCGAAAGCACAGTGCTTAACTCTTGGAGTGTCAAGGGAGCATTGTACGGCTCATCTAGGCCACCGGTTACTGGTAGTTTTTGTTTTTCGGTTGTCTATTTGTATGCCAGGAAGGATGGTGTGTAATTAGCCGAACTGGATATAGTGTAAAAGTGTTCGCCTAAAATGTTAGCCTGCTCCTCTAGAGATGTCTGTGTGCCTGGGTCTGTCAGGTCTGTCAGTATGGGTATTGCGTATGAGGAGTAGTCGCCGCTGAATTTTCTAACCTGGTTCCACATTTTCTTGTATGTGGTTGTGCTATTAATTGTAGATATGAACTTCTGCCAGGACAATTTTTCTGCACCTCTACGAACATATCGTGCTTTTGCTTTAGCTTGTTTGAACGCGAGGAGGTTGTCACATGTGGGGTACCTACGGAAGTTGCACCATGCTTTATTTTGTAGTTTTTTGGCTTTTGCACACTAACTGGTCCACCATGGTTTTAGCTTTGTTACCACTAGTCCTGATGACTGGGGAACAGCTTGCTCTGCCGCAGACAGTATGCAATTGGTGAACTTGTCATTTATTTCATCTACTGGTAGGTGTTCAGAGAACTCGTCCTGTAGATTAGCTCTCTGTGTAAACAAAGGCCAGTTAGCTTTGTGAAGCTTCCAACGCTGTGGTCGAGAGCGTATGGTCAGAAGTGTTGATGTTAGTTTTACAATCGACGATAGATGGTCACTACCGTAAGGATTTTTTATTGTTTCCCATGTAAAATGAGCAAACAGTGAGCTAGAGCACAGTGCCAAATCCAAGCAACTCATGGTTCCTGTGCCTGGAAAGCAGTATGTTGGTGATCCAGTGTTTAAAAGACACACATTGTTACTAAGAATAAAATCTTCAATTACCTGCCCTCTACTGTCTTTACACTACCCCATAGTATGTTGTGCGCATTGAAATATCCTGCCATTAAAAAAGGTTTAGGTAGCTGTTCTGCAATCAATTCTAGATCTTTTACAGTAAAATGTGTGTGAGGTGGAATGTATATGGAACAAATAGTGATAGTTTTATGTGATAAAATGGTGACTGCAGCCGTTTCAATAAAACTGTTAACTATAACTTCTCTTACTGCTATACCACTTTGCACAACAATGGAGACGACGCCCGCCAGCCGGTTGCTTTGCGAGCGGTGGCGACGTATAACAGTGTAACCTTTTAGTATTTTGGTGTTTTTTGGTCCCAGATTCATTTCCTGCAAGCATACCGCTACAGGAGAGAAGCTTGTAAATATGTCCTTAATGTCGTTTAAGATTCGTATCATGCCTCTGCAGTTCCAATGGATGATGTATGCCATCACGTGAAATGATGTGTATAAAATTTAGTATTGTGAGTTAGTTGTGCATAAGCTAAAAAGCGACACTATCCGTGTGCGTCGTCACTTAATTTTTTGTGGGGCCGAAAATGTGTTTCGGCTCCCTTTCCCTCCTTTGCAGGGAGGGATGATGTGCTGCCTGATCCCCCTGCTAGTTGGAGCAGGGTCTGTCAGGCTTTCAGTGTCTGATGGACTCACGTCCATGGACTCAGCACATCCAGGATGCTCAAAAGTGTTGGTGCCCGGCGAGAATGCTGGCCTCCTCAAAGGAGGCCGGCTACTCGGCACCGTTGTTGAGACCTCTTTTGCCTCGACATTAGGTTGGCTGGCACCAACATTGGTCGAGGCTTTGGGGCCTCCCTGAAAAAAGGCATTGGGTGCCTTTTTTTAGTTTTTGTCTGGGGGACGGACCGTGGCCACTAGGTCCTGGAGTTCGACCTGTGTGCCTACAGAGTCCGTCAGCGATGCCTTCCCCCTTCGCACCCCTTCAGCGTAGGTGCCCTTTTGGGCAAGAACCACTCGCTTGTGCACTTCTGGATAGGGTATGTTTTCTTTGGTTGTCAGTGTAAGTATGTTTGCCATTCTGGGCAGGAGTGTGAGTACGCTGCATGGGGCCCCTTGCAGTTCACACAGTTTAAAGCGTTGGTGCACTCACCATCATCATGTTCATTCTGGCCGCATTTTATGCAGGTTGGATTACCACGACATAAATGAGACCTGTGCCTGAACCTCTGGCACTGGAAGCACCTGCGAGGATTAGGTATGTAGGGCCTCACACGTAGGTAAAGTACGCTACCTTAACTGCAGCAGGAAGCGTCGTGCTTGCGAAGGTTAGAATTACATTCCTTGTGCGGGTTTCCTTCTTATCTCTACGAATGATCATTGCTCGTGTGGCAAGTACACCGTGATCCGCTAAAGCATCCTCAATTTCTGCGTCAGTGCACTTGAGCAGTTCATTGTCTGATATTACACCTTGCGTGTAATTAAAAGATCAGTGAGCTGTTACACGGACTTCATGTTGTCTGATTTTTCCAAGGTGTCTGATTTTGTCACTTTGTTCATTGTTTTTCACTTCTATGAGGAGTTCTCCTGAATTCATTTTTTTTTTTTGCACTGTAATTGCTTCCAATGCATTCTTTGATTGCTTTTGCAATCGGGAATGGTGATATGTCCTGAATCTTAGTTTCAGTCAATGACGTTACAACAAGGAATTTCGTGTAATCGCTCTCTTTAGTCAGAGAGTTTCTATTTGCTTCGGTGCGACCCCTTTTACGGGACCGATCATTGTGGAAAGGGGGGGTACTTTTTTCCATAGAAAAGCATGATCATTCGGTAGCTATGCTGGCCACCCACCATGGAGTCCAACAAGGGGAACGTATACACACGTTAGCCATACATTGCTACTATAACCCTGTGGTCCTGACCAAGGCAGGCCAGTCCCCCAGGGTTAACCCTAGCCGCCAGGAAATTTGGAAGTAAACGGAAAAGAGAAGACGACAGGACAGGTAAGAAGTGAGCGATAAAGACTAAGTTGTAGGGAAGAGAGATAGGAAAAGGCGACCGCCGATTTCCCCTGGGTGGGTCAGCCCAGGGGTGCCATCTACGTGAAGCCGGGGCAACAAAGGGGTGTGTTGCCTCTGCCGGGGTGCCTTAAAGGTCCGATCACCCAGCTTCAGCTCAACCCCCAGGATCCCCTTTTCCCCAGACAAGGCAAAGCCATGCACGGCTGGGCGTGGAAGGGAGTCGAAACCCCCCGTTAGCTCGGGTCTGTGGTGTCGCTACACACCAAACGCCTGCTTGCACAGACGTCCCTGCGGGGTAAAAGCTAGTTATGACGGCTTATATGCTCTATGTATAATAAATTTTAAAATGTTACGTATTTTAAGGGTTATGACTCGTACCCTGCTGAAAGTAAAATTCTGCTACTACTCAAAGTTCTTTTGACTTCTTTTGAATGCAAAAAAAAGTAATTTGCACAGAGGCTCTATTAAATCTTTTTTTTGATATTGTGCATGTTAGTTAGGTCACGTGGAATATGCTCATTTTCATTTATGTCATATATGCTATTTGACTCAAAATTATTTGACCAAAATCACTATTCACTTCGAACCTAAAATTCACTATTTGCAGAAGCATATTCGTTGACATATGTCACTATGATGAACTTATGATTTTGTGCATTTGCCATAAGAGCCTCAGTAGGTCATGCAACGATTACTTTGACTTCAGCGGAAGTGCAATGAGGCTTGCATGGAAATTCATGGGAGTGTGATGACGGCTACAAATGAATGTGGCGGCAAGTCATCACAACAAACCTACCAATGTAAATATCTCAATCAATCTAAATCATGTACTGCTTGCATAGCAGTACGTGTGGCTTAGCAGTTTAGCGCTGTTACGGTTTAAGTAAGCGTACCGACCACGCCGTCCGCTGCCACGCCCTTGTGCACGGGACTGCAGGTGCGTATCGCTCGTGGAAACGAAGGCAACTCGCCGCTGCCGCATTGACTCGACAAAATAGTCTTCACACTTTTGCTTGGTCTCATGCTGAGCGAGCACGAAGAGAAAAAATCTCTGCACAAGGGGGCAAATGCATGCGTATATGTTACAGGGCACAGCGCTGATGAAGTGAGCTTAGTAGGCGATGCACTATATGCAACTAGCTAGAGGCGCGCTCAGCTTGACGTATGATGGCAACGTATTTCATGTATAGCCACGCCAGTTTTTGCCAATGGATCACCGTAGAAACGTACGCGCACATGTCGAAGCCTAACGAGTCGTCTGTCAGCTGTGTGGTTACATCAGTATGTGTACCGTCTTCATGCTTCCAGAATAATTTCATGATAGCGGATATGGTCATGCGAATAAGGTGAAATGTTTTTTCCGCGCAATGGCAAACATAGAAAAAACCATGCACTTTGGGTAATGTTACAATGGTGTCCGCTGGCGCACGTAAGGTGATGGACAGATTACTGCGTAGTTCCGCTGCATTCCCCAAAGCGCCTTTGAAAATTCATAGTACGCGCATCGCGCTCATGCGACAACGTCACCTGCAATCAACCCTTCGTCACATCATTGCTACGATCTTGCTCTTTTGCCAACTGCTTTTGCTTACTGTCATCTGAAGCCAGCTTGCCGAAAGGGGTCGCGATGCGGCAAAATAGTGCCCTCGCCACCGCGAGTTGTGGCTTTGTCAACAAAAAGGCATATTTGGGGCGTCTTTTTATCACACATAAGTAATCATCTAACTCATGCGCTTACCTCACATTATTGCTGCGGGCAAGGTACACCTCAGTCACAACCGTGCAGCTATCAGCGCAACATAGCATTCTTGATCGGAAAATGGCGAGCGCGGTCCTGGAGGAAGGCGACGGAAGCAAGCGAGCTAGCGAGTATTGCTGTGTAGTTGAAAAATGCCCTAAGTACTTCTATTTTCCTTAGTAACTTGACAAGATAAGAAAACAGGGGACAAAATTAAAAAGAAAACTATAAAATGAAGGTTTTTCGAGCCAGAACTGGATGAATTGTGACCACCTAGACTGGTTTAATAATCCTTAGGCTTGACTGATTTGATTGATTGATATGTGGGGTTTAACATCCCACAACCACCATATGATTATGAGAGAAAGAGACGCCGTAGTAGAGGGCTCCGAAAATTTCGACCACCTGGGGTTCTTTAACATGCATTCAAATCTGAGCACACGGGCCTACAACATTTCTGCCTCCATCGGAAATGCAGCCGCTGCAGCCAGGATTCGATCCCGCAACCTGCGGGTCAGCAGCCAATACCTTAGCCCCTAGACCACCACGGCGGGGCGTTCCCTTAGACTTAAGTACACGGGTGTTAACTGTTACAAAATCAAACCAGTGGCCTCATGCTTACTAGTCATCAAGGCAGGTACAAAAGCTTTTCTTTCTTTTTTTTTTTTAAATAAAGTGCTACCACATAAAAAAAAAGGTACAAAAGGTTTGTTCATCATGCGATTTGAACCCAACATCACAGTCACAAGCTCAATCCTATGGTTTCTGGCAAGTACAGATGGTGGCACTTTTTTTTTAATTTTTGTGTACAATAACTGACTATAATAACAATTGTACTGTTTCCAACCTAAATATATGATTGAGTAAAAGATTACTCGTGGAAAAAAATTGTACCTCTTCATTATTCAATATTCGATTCGTATTCAAAGCTATGTATTTGTATTCGATTCGTATTCGAAAATTTTGATAATTGCACACCCCTACTAAAATTGTGTATAGACAAGCTTGCACCATGCTTGTAACTAGACAGCAATATTACCAGTAAAAATCATTCAGAGCATAGAACTCAAGTCCATGCTAATTTATTTGTTAACAATACTAAGATCTGAACCTCGATTTATCATATCTCTCCAAAAATTTGTCACATCACTCTGACAACAAGCCAAGTCATTTTAGAGTAAATTACACTTTCACAGCCTTTGTTCGCAGCATCCCCCCAAAACACGACACAAGAATGTCTGCATATAATAAAAATAGCTTTCTGTATGGACTTTCCATACCTATTAAGGGGTGATGCACGGCTAAAAACACAATTTTCTGAAAAATGTGCATTTTCATATGGGAGTTGTTTTGAATAGATGGTTCATTGAAGAACATGCTATAGTTATTTTGTACTCATAGGGTCCTGAAAATTAGAATATGTCCTAATATCAGTAAGTTTGACTATTTTTGAAATTTTCATCAAAATTAGTGCAGCAGTTGAAAAGTTGACATTTAGCGCTGCATCCCCCTTGACCATTGCTTCTGAATCGTTGCTTTCATGCTATACAATTATGAAATGCAATAACAATACTCTAGTATAGTTACTGGATAAGAAGTGGCATGTGCATCTAAGTCTGCAGAACTGCTCGACCATAGGATTTCCTTCACGTTGAAGTGCCTGAACTAGCTTAGGCAAGCTTAAACATCACTCTTAAAACAAGGTAAAAATACTCACTGTTATTAAACGAAATCCACACCAGTCAGGCAGAAAGCTCCTACTTCGAAAACGGTACTCAGCAGAGGTTCGTTTGTAGTCACGTGGGCAGGAGACCCTGTTTCGCAGCTGATTGGCCTCAACTTCTAATGTGCGTAGCTCCTGGGAAAAGTTAGTTGTCCCACCAATGCGTACGACTATCCTGAAAGAGTTGCACCCAACATGACATGTGATTAGTTCTTTCTTAACCATTAACTTTCAGAGATAAGCATTGAAATCAACGATACTGCTCTTCAAGGAAATGTTTTCTTGTTCTATGGCAAACAAGACTGATAGGCTGCCGAAAAAAACAAAATGCTGCTATTCTACTGGCCACAACCAAGAGACTATTATGGATGTGTATTCGAGGACCATTCAAGGTTCTTTAACCTGCGTTAAAATCTAAACACACATGTTCTTGCATTTCACCTTTATCAAAGCAAAACCACCGTGGCCAGCAGTCAAACCAGTGTCCTTGCACCTAGCAAGAAACTCATTACGTGAACATCGAGCTAGTTAAACTTTTACATGGTTCTTTTTTCACCAATTTTCACAACAGCAACGTCTTAAGGTCGCAACACTAAAAATGTATTTTATATATTTATATGTGGGGTTTAATGAGCACTAAAAATGTGTGGAATATTATTTAATGAAGTAAACTGCAATAACTACATGAAGCAAAGGATTGCCTAGGGTGTTCTATTTGTAGTTTACAGTTGACGTGCAGTAGCAAAACCCAGAGGAGAAAGAAAGTTTAAGCGGAAAGACAGGGAGGTTAGCCAGTTCTTAGACCGGCTGGCTACACTGTGCTGGGGAAAGGGGTGAGGGGAATGAAAGATGTTAAAAATAAATATTGCGAAGAGAGGGAGAAATTACAAAAAAAAATTGCGACAGAGGAAAGGCAACATCAAAGAGTATAAGACACTAAAGTCTGTCTCTGAGGCCAGTTGTCCGCAAAAAGCGCAGCAAAGCTTTCAAAGCCTTCTGGGCTGAGGATGGGCTCGGCCAATGACCCAGAATCCTTTGTTCCGACAAAGGCCGATTGTCTAGTCTATCCAGAGCTGCAGTGAATTCTTGTCTTTGCACATTGAAATAGGTGCACTCACACAGAAGGTGCGCGATGGTTTCTTCGCAACTGCAGTAAGTGCATGTAGGAGAGCTGGCCATCCCGATGAGATAAGAGTATGCGTTCGTGAAGGCCACTCCAAGCCACAGGCGGCATAGAAGAGTCTCCTCAGCTCGAGATATCCTTGGGGAAAGACGAAGCTGCAGATCGGGATCCAAGTTATGCAGGCGCGCGTTTGTGAAGTCCGTCGAGTTCCACTGTACCAGTGTGAGGTCACGTGCAAGCGAACGAAGTCTTGTAGCTGCGTCAGTTCTTGAGAACGGGATGGCTGTGTATTGGGTACCATCGTGTGCAGATCTAGCGGCCTCATCTGCGCGGTCATTGCCATATATACCGCAATGACCTGGTATCCACTGATACACTATGCTGTGCTGTTTTTCGGTTGCTTGGTGATGAAGAAGCCTTATTTCAGCTACTAACTGTTCATTAGGTCCATGGCGAAAGGGTGATATAAGACATTGAAGAGATGCCTTCGAGTCCGAGAAGATCGACCAAATTCCCGAAGGTTCTTTCACTATAAACTCCAGAGCTACACGAATGGCTGCAAGTTCTGCAGCTGTCGACGACGTCAAATGCGATGTCATGAATTTAATTGTGATGTGCCTCGCGGGAATAACCACCGCTCCTACAGAGCTTACTAAAGACACCGAGCCACCCGTGTAAATGTGAAGGCGTCCATTGTGCTTCTCTTGCAGGAAAAGTAATGTGGCTTGTTTCAGGGCTAGATGCGACGACTTATTTCTTATTTTGGATGCCAGGAATTGTAAGAAGGGCTTTGAGTGGGTGTAGGCACCATAATGGTATCGGCGGCTGTGCTGCATGCGTGAAGTTCAATGGAAGCACTGCGCAATACTGAGCTATAGTTGCGCTGAACGCTGAGTGGGGCCTGGAAGTTCGAAGTGAGGCTAGGTGATGAGATGGAAGCCGAGCGAAAGGTCTTATGTGCATTCTCAAAGCATCTACGCGGATGGATGCGTTGACTGGATAATCACGCGCAATGATGACTGTCGCTGCTGTAGACGCGCATCTCGGGAGACCAAGGCATATCCTCAGGGCTTGGGCTTGGATTGACTGGAGGACGCGCAAGTTTGTTCTTCGGATCCCGCAAAGCACGGGTAAGCTGTATTGCATATAACCGAGGAACAAAACAGTGTAGAGTTGGAGCATTGCTTGTACCGATGCATCCCACGTTTTTCCAGCAAGAAACCTCAGTACGTGGGTGATCATGGTGAGTTTAGTTTTAATGTGGGCGATGTGAGGGCTCCAGGAGAGGTCGCGATCAATTATGACTCCGAGGAATCGGTGGGTCTTCATGTAGTTGACAAAACCCAGAGGTTATGCATTGTGCATGTGGTGCACAACGAACTACTGCTGCTCCCCTGTTTTCATATTATTTATGCATCTGTAACTGTGAAGTGTTAAGCCAACATCATTCATGGCCACGTAGGTGAATGTGGAACATTACTTTTATCAGAAGATGACTGTAGTAAGAAAAAATGAGCAAACTCTTACCAAAAGTTTATTTTAGGAAAACCCTATGTTTTAAAGCCGGAGCAGCTTCTTCAAGGGTGAGAAGGCCCGAGATGTGCAGTGCTTTTATGCAGTTTCCATCCCAGCCAGGCAGACTTCTGCCAAATGTTCACCATTGAGGAATTTGGCTTAATAAGCTTGATTTCATATTTTTTAGCACGAACAGTGGCTACCTCACTATGACTCACATGTGAGAACTTTGAGTCAAATATCAACATACATTCCAAAATTGCTATAAGGCCTTCCGACAACAGTACAGGTTTTCTACTTGATTAAGTGCACTTGCAGTGCATATATTGCATTGGCTATTTTTAGTCAAACATGTGAAAAATGCTGAGCGGAAAAAAGGCCAACAAAATAAAATGCCAGCTCTTAACCGCGACCAGGAAGTAAAACAATATGTCTTTGTTGATATGCGTGACATATCATGGGGCCTTCGATATTTAGAGACCTTCAAGTATGAACTGCCTATACCCCCTGTTGAACGTGAAATAAAAAAAGTATGGTGAGTGTGCTATGTTCCTCCAACTTGAAACTATGTTAAAGTTCCATGATAAAACAACTCACAAGCAAAACAAAATTTAGAGGTGTAAAAGAAAAAGCAGCCTTTACTTAGAAATATTTTACTCATGTCCTACGTTCACTTCATCAAATTTTAAAAAATACCATCGAAACCAAATGTAAAAATATTTTCAAAATTTTGAAACATCAAAAGTCATGCTATTTCATGACACTATTATGTGCAACACCCCTCTGCTGCAAAACCGCATGCACGTGTCTGAAGGTGTGTGCCGCTTGAATGAAGAAATGATCGTTCACACCTTTGAGAACTGTTTAGTAGTAATTGCATTTGTTATTTAACTAAGCTACACAGCCCTCCAAAATGTTATACAGTGACTTGCGAGAATAATGGGCCATGACTGCTAAGTGGAACGTGGGAGATAGCGATGGCACATACAGGAGTGCCGATACATTGGCATCATGCCTCGAACCGGAAGTTTGTGTAGGCAGAACCACAGCCCCAATCATTTGCGAGAACCAAGTTTTCACTATCCACTTATTACAAGTACAGGGCTTGGATAGCTGGGAAATACTACAAGTGAAACAATTAAAAAAAAAAAAAGATTGCATGGTTCAGTGCTCAGCAAGTGTAACACTTAAGTACACAAGCTCAACTTATGGGAGACTGCACTAGTATTGCTGCAGACTTACCCTTCCTTGTCCTTAGGATTGACAGGTACCCTGCCACCAATATCCACCACTGAAGCCACTTTTGTCACATAGATTTCGGGACTTTCTTTCCATAAATGATCTCGAAAAATGTCTTCTAAATCAGATAACCAGTCACCCTCGAAGAGGTCTTCGATATTGAGATTTAAGAACTTCATCTCGACCTCGTAAAGTGCTTCCTCTGCAAAACAAAAATATAAAATGACAAAAACATGATGATAAATAGTTGGTACACAAGTGCGTAATGAAGATCACCATGTACCTCATGCTATGAAAACGAAATGAGTGTTACAGGCATTTGAAAATAGAGATGACACTTACTTGGCCTTTTTTCCACCTGAAGACTAATTACCCGTAAAGAAGTCTTGTAGTTGTACTTGTTAATAGCAAAGACCTTAAAGCAATCAGAAAGAAATAAAAATAGACATTTAAGATTCGCCGCAACCAAGAAAAGAACGCGCAACTAACCTCAATGTTGAGTTCCCCATCATCTTGATACGAACCGTACAAAAGTGCCCTATTTGAGTTGCCGGTTTGCCGTAGGAACATCCACTTTGGTAAGTCCGGCTTTCCTAGCAAAGCAGCTCTGAATTCTGTATGCCCGTAGCTATCTGTTCAATAATAAAAAGTGACTGAACACTCGTTTCACTTGCACGAAGAGACCTCAAAATGTAAATGTTAGCTAACGTGACTGCGTACCTATTGACGCGTCAAACATTCCTTTATCAATATAAAAATGAAAAACTTCAGTAGTCTGCAGCACCTGGTTTCTGGGGTCTTGAAGTTTCGCACCTGCACAACACAGGTCGAACACGAAACTTAGTTCACGTGAAGAGAACATACAATAGAGTTACTCACCTAAGCAGCTGCAGCTAAGCAATAACGTCGCTGAAACAAACACCTTTACAGGCAACATGATATCTGGCTTGTCTGTCTCCCTTCTATACACAAACCACACCAATACTGATTGCCTCGATGCGCGGAGGCTCGGGAGCAGCACCGCTGTGCCTAGCTGTGTGTACCGATAGCTAATCGATCAACTTTGTACGAGAGACAGAGCTCTTGAGCGTCAACCCAACGGTTAAATTGTCTAGAGGCAACAAAATATACATCTGCCTCTCGTACTGCTAACACAAAAGAAGATGAACGATCAATAGCCATTAAAATATGCAATATCAAGGAGGATCAAGCTAATGAAGCTCACCAAACTTTTGCTACATGCGCTACTGCTTACTTTCGCTTTCTCCTTGCAACCTCAGCGGCCCCTGGTGTCCTGGTGCCCTGGAGAAGAAAAAAAAACAATTCCGTGACAACAACAATAAACACTGAATATATACAAATATTTTTTTCTATGCCATTAAAAACACCTGCTTTGCGTTAAAAGAGAACAAGACTACTTTACTTAGACATTCAGACAAACATCTATCTAGAGAGAATCGTTAGTACAAATAAATTAATTTGTAGCTCACATGCTGTGATCTCTCTAGTCACTCTAGCTATAATATGTGATAATAGAGTTTTCTGCTAAAGCTTTGTATAACTCAGGCTTTGACGTATGCCGCACTAAATGCAATTTTGCGACAAAATAAATCAGCTGGACGTATCCTGGCAATGTGCCATGCGTAGCGCAAGGAATAATCGCGCTGCACAATCAGAAACGGCTCGGCGTGATATCGGGGGGTAGCTAAGCGATACGCTTTTTACATCACCCTTTGCAAGGCCCACGTTGCACCATAAAAAAGGGAGGAGCGGGTTCATTTGTGGGCAGAGAGCTCTCTAAGTTTGCTCTTACCTGTCCCGCTTTTTGTTTTCTTATTTCGCTTTAAAATCCGCAGGTGTGTTAAAACAGCGCGGTCCATGTGACACCTGTGCTTACACGTAGCACTTTCCGCCAATTTTTGTTTATTACATCGAAGATCATGAAGGTTTTCGGCGGCGTCGAAGGGTAGGTTATTTGCTAATTGATTACCGATTTCATTTTACGCAGCTCGACAACCCGTGAAGGTTCACTAAAGTTACGCCGATTCTTTTCTTATTTTTTTTGTTATCGCACGAAACTTTCCTAGTAGCCCCGGTATGCACGAATGGGAGCACTCGGGCGCGCGATTTCGCTTTGCATGGCGAGATAGCAATCGCTTTTTACAAACGGCCACGTGCACACGTGCTCCAGTGGCGCTTCTTGTGTACCCTGACCATCTGTCGTGGTCGCCAGCTATCTTGCAGATAACGAACGAAGGCCAAGGTGCTCGAGTGTTTGCGCCCACTCAGTCCTGCGCTGCACAGCCCGAGCGCGGGAAGTTTTGCGCGTCGTCTCGAACTTGACGATCAAACAAATAGTTGAAAAGTTTCAGATCTACACAGTTATCGAGGTGTCGTACTTCTACTTTATTAACCAGCCACATCCACTTGTATTTATGCTTGTCAAAGAAAAAAAAAAACGAATTGCTCGCTGTCTTGACTGATGGCACATTGTTTCAGTTCACGCCGCCAAATCAGTTACGTTAGACCCCTCATATTTGTCTGAGAGAGAGCTCTGCATACGCATGGGCACACTTTTTTTGTTTAATTTATCGTGTTCGAGCTTCGTTCAGCGACACGTTGTCGCGCATGTGTTGTGTGACCTTTCCTATATCGTCTATTGTTGTGCATCCATCTTCTATCTCGTGACAATTTAGGGGAGCCACTTTGTCGAAAGCAGTTCTACTGAACGAAAGCGGCCAAGTCCTGGGATGGTCGGAGGGTCACCCTGTAAACCACTGGCTCGTTGGGATGAACGAATGTCGGAGGCGTGTCTATGAGCTTGTTCTTGCAGCCAAGGAAAATGCTGGTCTTAGTCGAGAAGTTCGCCTCGCATCACTAGTGAGTCGTATTTTTTTTTTTTATTAAGCACAGGTTACTCTATAATGCTGTGTGTATGACGATATGTTGATTACGTTTTGCACATTATTAATCTTCTGAAAATATTCATGATATAGACTGTGTGTAACAATAATAAAATACCTTTCACACATTGAACGCAGTAATGAAATCCATTTTTTTTTTCTTTTTTAAAGGGGGGGGGGGGGGGGGTGGTTCTGCTCTTTGTAGAGAACTGAAATTTGTGTAACAAAATAGTAAAATTGTGATGAGCAAATGAGCTACAAATAGCAGCCGTTAACTCCAAAGCTTTATGTGGATCAGATAACTGCTAGTATGTACTACATGTACAGAAAGGACACATGTGCACACACCATGCAATTTTTCTTGGTTCGCGTGCTGTAAAAACAGCTACTTTTTTCCAGTATTCTACGAAGCATAGACAATTAATATTAACATTTTTGTACCGGAACGAAAAAGATATTGTATATACATATATGTTGGTACTGCTGTTTTCAAAGCGAGATTATAGAACTATATCTTGCACTTGCATGCACTTCCAGTTTGGATGAGTAGTTGCTCCATGTTATGTCCATATATAAATGTAAAATTAGGCATTTCCTAGTATACATCCCTGCACGTCATTGCTCTAACATTTGCCATGCCATGCATTAATATTTACAAGTGCGTATTAGCACCTGCTTACAATAATAAAGAGCATGTGCCCATCTGATGTATTTATTAGATCATTTTGTTTTCCCGCTAGTGTTTGGTATGCGACTTGTGTTGTGAATCTTGACACATTCAACTTTTCAGAGCCTTTGTCTCAGTGGCTGTGAACAAGAGGCTACCAACAATGATCTGAAAGAACTTATCTTGAAGGAGCACCCTGATATTGCATCATCAGTAGTGGTAAAAAGCGATGTCATTGGAGCACTGAAGACAGTCGCACCAAATGGTTAGTGTGCCCAGTTTCTTGAAGACAAGTCTGTCCGTTTTTTCCATAGTGAACAAATCTTGTCTTATCCTGTAATAAAGAATTACAAAGTAATAGCTTAGATGTGGCTTCCTTCAGTGACAGGTGCCATAAGTTTGGAATAATTACAATTTTGAAAGAACATTTACATACCATATTTATTCAAATGTAGTATGCATTTTTCTCATATTTTTGCTACATGAACTCAACTCTTGCATTATAATCAATTACTTAAATGCAGGTTATCTTTAAAGTGTAATGATGCACACAATTCTTTTACTTTTGTTTTATTTATTTTTCATCCTGAAATTCACCTCTTGCGTTACAATCGTGGTCACGTTAAGTCAAGTAAATACGGTAATCTGAAAAACAGCGGGAAATTAGAAACTTTGTGAATATCATAAATTTTTTGTTTAGGGTAGCCATTGTGGGTGTTGATGCTGAAAACATTAGTCATAAACACTTTTCAGTAACAATTGCCCCTGGCAGGTATAGCTGCTATTGTAATCAGAGTAAATGCTCTTGCATTTTGAACCAACGCTTGTGATAAGCTGGTGCGATTCAGGGTTCACTCTAAGTCCTGCCTCACACTTAATCAGTGACTGACAAGTCAGTGATGTGACATCATGAACATGCATAAAGTGCATTGTAGATTCTGCCCATGGATAATATCTAAAATGATATGCAGTTCATGGACTAGTGTACGACAAACAAGCTTCAGGTCATCCCCCTTCCTTTTTTTTTCTTTCTCCAGTGCTTGGTTGCCTTGAACTTTATTCCTTGTTTAGAGGTGCATCTGCAGGCAGCATATACTGCCCCGCCGCGGTAGTCTAGTGGCTAAGGTACTCCGCTGCTGACCCGCAGGTCGCGGGATCGAATCCCGGCTGCAGCGGCTGCATTTCCGATAAAGGCGGAAATGTTGTAGGCCCGTGTGCTCAGATTTCAGTGCACGTTAAAGGACCCCAGGTGGTCGAAATTTCTGGAGCCCTCCACTACAGCGTCTCTCATAATCATAAGGGGGGTTTTGGGACGTTAAACCCCACAAATCAATCAATGCAAGCAGCATATATATAGAATCAGTCTAGTGATTTCTTCATGTGAGAACCCATTGGCATGAGAGTTATTACGTGAAAACCCTTGTCACATAGGAAGGTTTGAGGTCATTTGTGTTTAATTATATTGAGCAAATGAAATTGCATTAGGTACTATGCATTGCTACATGGCAAGATATGCCGTCGTTTGCAGATTGTGACAATCGCGACTCAGTGAAAAGTGGAGTGACCAACAAATTTCAAGTGTATGTAAAAAAATAGTTGCCATGTTTATCAGATCTTAAAAATTGTTAACAGTAGGTATCTGTCACACTGCACTGACACAATCAGTGCTATGCAGGCTGTATTGGGCAATGTCACTGGGATCAAAGGTATTCAAGTTTTTGGATAAGAAGAAAGTGAATTTTTTGGCAAAAAATGATACATTTCAAAGCAAAAGCATATGAATTATTGTAATGAAGTATTCACGGTTTAATTTATATTCATTTGTGGCACCTCTTGGTGAAAGCACTCATTTGTGACGAAGATGAATTGAAGTGAGTTCAGCACTCATTTATTTGCACAAGTAATTTTATAATGGAATTGAATGTCCCCGTGTGGCAGTTGGCTAACCGCATTAAATGTAAATGTTGTTAGGTACCAATGACTATAAAGTTCCTCATGTGACAGGTGTATAAATATATTGACAAACTCTTCATATCTGTGCTTGGTGAAGAAGAAAAAAATGAGCCTGCATTTAGTATTACTATAGTCGGAACTGTTTGACAAGCAAGCACTTGTCATGCAGGAGGTGTTGTCCTGATAGCAGGTACAGGATCCAACTGTTTGCTTGTCAATCCTAATGATTCGATGCATCGCTGCGGAGGTTGGGGACATATTCTTGGAGATGAAGGAAGTGGTAAGTCCAGAGACTTAATTGATTATTGTTATTACTATTTACAATTGATAATGTCACTGTGCAGAAACGTGGCTTCTATTTTAGCAGCAATTAAAAGTGAATATACTTATAAATATGTGCAGAGGGTTTTATATCGGGTTGTTTTGCTTATTAAAGTTATCTGTTTTTTTACTTTTACACCATACATTGCTATGTTTTAATTATGTCTCGTTTTTTGATGGAATTCTTTTACTAACACTCTTTTCATTATTTTTTTCTTTCTCTCTCTTGTAGCTGAGAGAGAATCGAACTGCATAGTAATACGAGACATGCGTGTGACCTTTCCTGCTCCTCACCCTTCTTTCTTTTTCCTCCTCATCCTCTTTGAAAATACTATAACTTTAGGCAGCACCAATTTTTTAATATAAATCTCACTGAGGAAGGCAGTGTCTTTACAGATGAACTGTACATTGAGAAAGAAGTACTCTATCACTGCTAAAATGTCTTTGAAAATGATAATTAACAACAAAGACTTGTCAATGAAACTTTTTATCTTTATTTAGTACTGTTGTTATGTATATAAAAAAGTCGTATGGCATCACAATTTATGACATATCTATATTACTAGTATCGAAAGAAGAAGTGTCTAAATGCGTGTTTATTTTTCTATTATTACAAGCAAATTGTTACTTGCAGATTTTCAGGACAAATGTCAATAAATTTTTATGTGTTACAGCTGAGCTGAAAGCAATCATTATTGGGTAACTTGAGGCATTAATGACTGAATGTCAACCTTTAAGTCCATATGCCTCGGGTATCACTGCACGAATTCAGTATATTGATCTGACCTTTTTTTTTTTTACTTGTCAAACAGTGTAACCGTGTGAAAAACTGAAAAATGTGGAAATATGAGGACTCTGCAAACAGAAATTTTTATTTTCATTTAGAGAAAAGAAATTTTTCATTTATGAATGATGGGTCATAAAGTGGTTGTATAGTAGAGTTGATTATTTTCTATGTTTATTCAGCTTTCCTAGACTGCTCATTCTTTGCTGCTTTGAACATGTGAGGAGTAAGAGAGCAGTTCATCAAAACTACTTTCCTGCTTCAGTGTTTATAAAATTGTCAATAATTTAGTATGGTGCTGAAGATTTTTTTTATGCCAGTAGTTTTATGAATAAAGGAGCGCTACTTTCTTGCTACATTTATTTCTGTTTTGATAAAGTAACTGTTCTGCATAAAACTTTTCTTTCGTTGCTTGCAATCTTGTGTGCGGTTCAGCTAGCAACTTGTTAGTGGCCTTTCTAAGGAACATAGGAAGCAGTCCAGAATATGAAGCAAAACTTGGCAATTTCATGGTCACTACATCTTGTTTTGCTGTTGAATCATCGCAGTTTAGCCTGTAAGGACGCCTGCAAATTTTATTCATCTTTTTGTGTGAATATTCCTCAGATGAAGCCTGCTTGAAAAACTGCTCAATTGATTAATATTTGCTCATGTTTCTTTGCTTAATTTGGCAAAACAGGTTTCACTATCTCAATACAAGCCATCAAAATGGTCCTGCATGAAGACGAAAATTTCCGGGTTCCTCAGTGGAGTGCTGAAAAGATTCGTGAACTCGTAAAGGAGCATTTTCAGGTGAGCGCTGGCTTTGTGGGGCATACTGCCATTCATATTCCTATAATAACATGGAAAATTGCTTAAACAACAGTCAGTCCTTTGCCTGTTCTGAACATGCTTTCACACACTTTTCACCATTATTAAGCTACCAACTTTTCCGTACCGTCTTCGAGTAGTTATGCTGCCTACATTAGTCATGCAATTGCAACTTTTTTTTGTTTCTGTCCTCGATGAGCATGGCCATGTAGTTGCTAGTTCACGTTAAATTTATACTGGTCGGAGTAAGGCTGTAAGTAACAACTCAATTTCTCAGGACAGTGATTATGTTTCCAGTCAAAGCTTGTATGCTCATTGGCTTATTGTCATATTATAGTGATTAATTTATGATACAACAAAGAACGGGAAGAGGGACAAAGAAAAAGCAATAAACAACACTTCTTTTTCTGTCCCTATTCCAATTCAGCTGACCCAGCACGGTTTGTTATTTACAAGTAATCAACTCATTATCAACATAAACTTGTAATATTTTATGGCCATGGTTCCCCAGTGCACTAGACAGGCTTAATGCAGCTCACATTGTGGATTGCCAAGAACTAACTGTTTGATCACAGCATATCACTGCAGTGTGTTGAACAACCAGAGGCATAGTGCCATTCCCGGCATTTTGTAAGTTAAACGTGCATTCCTCTTACGACTACCTATTACTTATGTGTGCGATAAAAGCTTCCAGTTTGTTCTAATGCAACTGAACTGCTCCTGACAACATCAATAAACCAGCAGCTGGCAAGTGGATAATGTGCTGTAGTAGAAAACCTACCAAATCTCTGAACTATTTCTTAAAGGGACAGTAAATAGCTAAATGATTTTTTTTTCCTTATTAGTAAAGTCCAACTTCACAATTCAGAAAAAGCCCCTCTTACCGCGACACTATGCTTGGTGAGAAAACATGCGAAAAGAAATCGTGGGTGTAGACACCACTTTGAGATTCCTGCACCAAACACCGTGATGTCATTTGAGGGCCTCTACTGGGTTCTACGTAGCAAAGGTGAAACAGCTGCGCATATTGCACATTTTTTATACGTTTCCGTTTTCTTGCACCAAGGTGCTCCAAAAGCATACAAATCCCAAAAACTGCACCAAACTGCTCCGAAACGAGCAAGAATTTTGATGCCAACCTCAGCTTCAGTGGTGAAAAAAGGCTGAGTTGACTACATGATTTTTCGGGCAATGCCAGAAATACCAAGAAAGAAGACGCAACCTAGTATGTTTATTACTTGACACCTTTTTGGTGATAAAGGCTCCCACAGTGCCGCCATAATTTGCTGTGGACTGCTGTAAATATGCATGACCCCGCAAAAATATGCTACCATGCATCGAGCAGGCTGTTTCTGCTAGCTAGGCTGTGTTCTGGTGCCACTGTCGCTTCGCAAAAACCACAGAGTTAGCCATTCTAACCAAGTGGCATGCATAGCGGGATTTTGACTCTCAGGTTCTTTGTTGTGACGTTCCTCGAGTCGTTGTGGTTTTCATGTCGACACTGCTGCGTGCAGTCACCTACACGTGCGTGTTCCGCGCATTGTTGTCTGCAGTTAGCGAAAGACCCACTTAGTAGCAACTAAATAGTCGTTCATAGTGCATGGTATGAAACTTGCACGATTTGCGAACCCGTGGTGCACAGAACCCATGGTGTTCAAACCAGTTTAAAAAGGCACCTCGGCGCTTTGTTCGTGACTCATAATGCGTCGGTGATCACGTGGCACAGTTTTCATAAACAATGATTTGCAATACTGCTGTGTTTTATAATCGAAACCCGTGACATGCGCTTTAAGAGGCATCGCTGCGTGCCATGGCTCCGAGCTAGATGAGCTTTAGGCTTTGCTTTACGTTTGACTGGTGTTTTCGTGGGTGGCTGTTCTACATTGTGACTGGCATACTTCTTTCTTTCTTTCTTTTTTTTCTCAACAAATCTGGTCTCTGTCCGTTCGGCTGTTCATTTGCGTGTACCGCGGGGCGGTTCGGGTGGCAATCGCAAGTCGATGGCCATCGATATTAACGAAAATAGAACAGGCTAACGTGGGCAGTACTAATAACACGTGGTTGCACGCGTGGAGAGGCATCATCAAGTACTACCATTCGCTTATCACTTAGTGTCGTAGGCACGCACTTTACGAGACAGTCGGTGAGGTTAGATTTATTAGTTTCGGTGCCGCACTCTTGAAGTGGTCCCTCACGAGGTGGCCGCGAACGGTGGCGCATAGCACTTTCGTTTTCGGTTAAAAACTCGCAGTACACTTGACAATAGCATGTCACTATTCTCAAGTGAAGGCCCACTTATACGTAACAATGATTCTTGTGCAATCACATTTTTTAAATTCTTTGAGTGTAATGCATTGCTCTTTACAAATGTTTCTGGTGAACCTAGTTTTTTTTTTAACCATTTTTTTAATATTGTTTCACTTTTCCTACAAGGGCTGGATAGGTCGCATGATATGTAAAAAGGTAGTGCAGTTCATACCTGGCGATAATCTGTTCAAAAACTTTCTTCAAAGTCTGTTTCAGTGTAATGTGTATTATAAGTGAATTAAAATATGCATTTGTGCCCCCACGTTCCTAAAAATTTGCTTTTTCAAGCTCCCAGGACAACATATGCAATGCCGGTGACTGCTCCAAAATGAGGTTCGTCTGCCTTGAAATTAAAATTTGGTGCTCCGAAAACTGCTCCCAATTCAGTCTCGGCTGTCTCACTCCTGACGTACCTTAAAATTGATAAATATGAAGTAAATTGTGATCTGTGGGTGCCATAGATCTAGCTTACGAAGTTTCTGAAAATTTCATTAAGCAAATGTCGTAAAAATACAAAAAATATATTTTGAAATTTTTGATGTCATGCGTGAAGATTTCGGTGCAAAGTTTTAAAATGAAACTGCATCTTAGATTTTTTCTGCTAATAATGAACTTACGATTGTGAAACATATGGCATTACAGTTCTTAGAGTGCAGTTCATCAATCTAAGAAGGGCATTATTTTTCTTTGGTGTCCCTTAAAGGCTTGTGCCAAGAATTAGCATTATAGTTATTATTATTCAAGGGGCTGAGTGGTTTGATTTTCATTTACTGGTTTATATTTATAAAGGACTTCTTTTATCATTACTGGTGGGTTCCCATCAGGGTTAATACTAGTTCTTATATTAAGGTCGTGGTTGTCCCTGCTACTGTACAGATCTCTGTAAAACTCCTCCGCTATTTTAACTATCTAATGCATATTGGTAGTTTATTTTGCCTTCCTTGTTTCTTAGTGCATACATCCGATTTTTGCCTATTCCACGTTTCTCCTTCACTGCTTTGACGCTTCTCCTGTTCTTCAGAGCATGTTCAATTCTCTTTATGTTATACTTTATAACATCGGATACCTTACGCTTATTAATCGACTTCGAAAGCTCTACCAATTCTATTTTGTCTGTTGTACTTGAGGCCTTCATGCTTTGACGATTTTTGATGAGATTCATCATTTCCTGAAACAGCTTCCCAGTGTCTTGTCTAACTACCGTACCTCCAACTTCCACTACACACTCCGTAATGATACTCATCAGATTATCATTAATTGCATCAACACTAAGGCTGGTTTCCTCGATAAGAGCCAAGTACCTCTTCTGAAGCGAGACTCTGAATTCCTGTACTTTCCCTCTCAGTGCTAGCTCATCGATTGGCTTCTTGCACATCAGTTTCTGTCTTTCCTTCTTCAAGTCTAGGCGAATGCGAGACAGTACCATTCTGTGGTCGCCCCGCCGCGGTGGTCTAGTGGCTAAGGTACTCGGCTGCTGACCCGCAGGTCGCGGGTTCGATTCCCGGCTGCGGCGGCTGCATTTCCGATGGAGGCGGAAATGTTGTAGGCCCGTGTACTCAGATTTGCGTGCACGTTAAAGAACCCCAGGTGGTCGAAATTTCCGGAGCCCTCCACTACGGCGTCTCTCATAATCAAATGGTGGTTTTGGGACGTTAAACCCCACAAATCGATCAATCGACCATTCTGTGGTCACTGCATTGTACCTCGCCAAACACTTTCACATCCTGCACGATGCCTGGGTGTGCACTCAGTGTAAAGTCTATTTCGTTCTTATTTTCGTCATTGAAGCTCCTCCATGTCCACTTACGGCTCCCTCGTTTTCAGTAGAAGGTATTCAAGATCCATAAATTATTGCGTTCTGCAAATTCTGCTAATAGCTCCCCTCTGGCATTTCTAGTACCAATGCCATAATCTCCTATTGCCTGGTCTCCAGCCTGCTTCTTCCCTACATTTGCAGTGAAGTCTCCCATCAGTATAGTATACCGTGTTTTTACCTTAATCATTGCCGATTCCACGTCTTCATAGAAGCTTTCAACTGACGTGTCATCATGGCCGGATGTGGGCACGTAAGCCTGCACCACCTTCATCTTGTATCTCTTATTAAGTTTAATTACGATACCTACTACCCTTTCATTGTAGCTTTAGTATTCCTCTATGTTGCCAGCTATGTTTCTGTGGATAAGGAACCCCACTCCCAGTTCTCTTCTGTCAGCCAAGCCCCGAGAGCAAAGGACGTGCCCATTCTGTAGCATAGTATAGGCATCATCTGTCCTCCTAACCTCACTAAGTCCTATTATATCCCATTTAACACCCTCTAGCTCCTCAAATAGTACAGCTAGACTTGCCTCACTAGATAAGGTTGTAGCGTTAAACGTTGCCAAGTTCAGGTTCCAATGGCGGCCTGTCCGGACCCAGACATTCTTAGCACCCTCTGCTGCGTTACAGATCTGACCGTCGCCGTGGTCAGTTGCTTCGTAGCTGCTGGTTACTGAGGGCCGTGAGTTAATTGACATATGCATGTGGGAGGGTAGTGGCCAGATACTGCACCAGGGTGGCCAATCTTTTTCTGGTGAGGGAGTGCATTACTGGCAGTGGTCACCGGTGAGGCCGAATCCCAGGCCTCTTGATGCAGTTTCATCACCAAGCAGACTTTTTTTTTATCCGGTTGGGAACTGCCCGACACCGAGATTCGAACCACAGACCTCTTGCATGCGAGGCTGATGCTCTAACCATTACGACATCGCTGCTTACTTGTGTGTGAACTCAAGACAACACAATTGCCATGTTTGTGCTGTTAACAAGAAAACATGGTGTGTTGTCCCTGTAGTTTAATATTGTGTCTGCGTTAGTGGGCTTTACCTTCTTTCATATGATCCTCACCCACTAGCTCTACTTTCTGTCATTATTAATTTTGACTACAGCAGGTTGCTTGTGTGCATCCTGGAGCTTTTCATTTAATTCCCAACCAAAACGCAATGCAGTGCAGCAGTTGGCATTGAACCCACAACCTTGAGCTTGGCAGCACCATGCCATCACTTTCATTTTCACACTTTGGCCATCCTAGTTAGAAGTCAGAAAAAAGCTTGGAGAGCATGCAAAGAGGCAAAGGTGCTGGTGAGGATCAGGTAACATCAGATCTGCTCTGAAAGATGGAGAACAGATTGTGTTAGAAAAACTAGCCACCTTGTTTACGAGGTGTTTGCTGACGAGCAGAGTACCAGAATCTCGGAAGAATTCTAACGTCATCTTAATACATAAGAAAGGAGGACTTGAAGAATTACAGGCCAGTCTGCTTGCTCTCTGTCGTATACAAGCTATTTACAAAGGTAATTACTAACAGAATTAGGACATTGGAATTCAATCGACCAAAGAAACAAGCAGAATGTCGAACAGGCTACTTAACAATCAACCACATTTATACTATCAATCAGGTAATACAGAAATGCTCAGATTATAGCCAACCACTATACATAGCCTTCATAGATTATGAGAAGGCATTTTATTCAGTAGAAATATCAGCCATCATGCAGACACTGCGGAATCAGGGCGCCGATGAAGTATATATAAACATTCTGGAAGAAATCTACAGGGGATCAACTGCTACCATAGCGCTTCATAAAGAAAGCAACAGAATACCAATCAAGAAGGGTGTAAGGCAGGGGGACACAATCTGCCCAATGCTATTTACCGCGTGCTTGCAGGAGGTCTTCAGAAGCCTAGAATTGGAACAGTTAGGGATAAGAGTTAATGGAGAGTACCTTAGTAACCTGCGCTTCGCTGATGTCATTGTATTGCTGAGTAACTCAGGGGACGACTTGCAACTCATGATTACAGAGTTAGACAAGGAGAGCAGAAAGGTAGGTCCTAAAATTAATCGGCAGAAAATGAAAATGATGTACAACAACCTCGGAAGAGAGCAGCACTTCGAGATCGGTAATAGTGCACTTGAAGTTGTAAAAGACTATCTCTACTCAGGACAGGTAATAACCGTGGAGCCGAACCACGAGATTGAAGTAACTAGAAAAAATAAGAAAGGGGTGGAGCACATTTTGCAAGCACTCTCAAATCATGACAGGTAGATTGCCACTATCCCTCAAGAGGAAGGTATATAACAACTGCATCTTGCTGGTACTTAGCTAGAGAGCAGAAACATGGGGACTTGCAAAGAGGGTTCAGCTTAAATTGAGGACGATGCAGCGAGCAATGGAAAGAAAAATTGTAGGTGTAACCTTAAGAGACAAAAAGAGAGCATAGTGGATTAGGGAACAAACCGGGGTTAAGGATATTATAGTTGAAATCAAGAAGAAGAAATGGACATGGGCCGGGCATGTCGCGCGTAGACAGGATAACTGCTGGTCATTAAGGGTAAGTAACTGAATTTCCAGAGAAGGCAAGCAGGTTAGGGGAAGACAGAAGGTTGGTGGGCAGATGAGATTACGAAGTTTGTGCTTGTAAAATGGCAGCAGCAAGCACAGGACCGAGTTGAGTGGCGGAACATGGGAGGGGCTTTTGTCCTGCAGTGAACGTAGTCAAGCTGATGATGATGGTTAATGAATAAAAAAACTGCCACCATCATTGCTAAAGTCAGTTGAGTCGATCGACATGTACTGATATGTAAACTTTGAATTGAGTTGTGTTTGTTTGTTCTTTTTGAAATTCTGTATTTTGTTTTGTAATTTCACATTTCACCATTCCTGGCTGGGCCCTGTGGGCGTGCAGTATGTTGTAAAGAAAATACTTCTTTTACAAATTTATACAGAATGTTTGGGAAAAGTTTGGGAAAAGGGTGCTGCTTCTTTTGGCGAGTTGGCAATCTATACTGCTGAGGGATGCACTGAAGGATGCGTACAATGATGATGGGGCCCCTGGAAAAGCCTGGGCTTGAAAATCAGTTGCATAGAGTCCGACATGCACTAGTCTACAATGAATATATAGCCGAAATAGATGTTTAATTTTGATACGGTACAGAAATGGTGCAGCAGTGGTGCAGCCATGCATGCTTCATAAAGGACTGCGTAGGTGCCGTAGTTTTATGCTCATCTTCGTTACCTTTTCCACTCTCTCTCCTCCATGCATTCTCACCATTTATGCATACTCGAGCAAAAGGCACAGGTTGCATCAAGTCATAAAAAAAAAAAAACACGGCAAGCTGTCACCTTTAGTCACCCTTTGTGTGATAATGACTGAATAGAAGAGTCATAAAAGGTCCAATGATGCAGGATGAGAAATTTTTTCTCCTTTATAATTGACCGGTTCTGGCACGCCCTCAGCACTTGCAAATGCTTGTAGGGTTTCTCATACAGGGTGTACAAAATTTTGTAGCATCACTTTATTCTCACTTTCGATTTGTGCACTTTAACCCTCAGCAGACCCCATTGCAAACTTTGGTTGCACTTTAAAAGTTGTCAGGCACTGCGTAGGTGGATTTCACCAAAATAATTTTTCTGCCCAGCTCATTATTAGAGCAGTTACAATAAATATAACTATCTTGTTGCCATACTATCGGAGGCAAACAGCTACTGTCAGTAGAGACACTTTCCCCTATCACCTTGGCTGATACTTATACTATTCCATATGCCGGAGGTGAAAAACCATATGATGTTCATGAGATAAGCCTCATCTTTTTTAGGGGTGAAGCTCCTAAAGGCGTGGGTCTTTCCATCCCTTTGTTGTATGTACGTACGTGACCACCTATAGTTACACCTTTGCCAACTGCCCCCTACTTCTACCTTGCAAACATCCCACTACGCCCCATCACAGATCCACCACTTCACCGACCATAAAGCCCTTATAATAAAAGGGTAACGGAAGCAACATATAGCTAACACTTACGAATAAAAGAATTTCTTGTATAAATATATGCAGTGTCACGTCTTTGATTACCTAGTGGGCGATATTCATGAATGGTTCACAGTTTAGCGATGAAACCCTCCAGCGCTTTGCCCCACTCATCATCATTCACTCCGTGGATATGCTGTGTTTTTTTTTGGTTTTTTTTGATGGAAATTTCGCTTTCCACTCACTTCGCTTGGGGATGATTAGTGGAGTTTTGTGGCGCAAGGACCATGGGTGGCCAAAGAGTGCCATGTCTTCACTCACGTCGCTTGTTTAGCCCACCTCTTGGTAAATGATGTATAGGGAAAAAAAGCAGCATGCCTTTGCAGCAATGTTTTACCTGGCAGAGTCACAACAATGCTGTGTGGTGCAATCCGTGTCAGATATTTTTACCGGCAATAACTTTCACAGAGTCCAGTGAAAGTGCACTCACTGTCTGCTGACGGCTTAAAAAATAACAACCATAATAACACACAAAAACCCGGAGCACGCAGTAATACCTTTACTTCGGCTCCATCACACGCCAAAAACATTACCTTCTGTCATAATTCGAACACTACGGCAACATATCACGATGCTACGTTGAAGCGAAGAAATAAGTTTGAATGCCCGCTAAGTGTTCTATCGTGTACTTATAGATCCCGGTTGGGGCAGCCAGATCGGCTATAATGCACCAGCGTTAAAGATTGCTCTTGAGTTGAGAGGGAGAGAGAAATGAGGGACATAGACAAGTGAGTGCTCGGATGGCTACCCTGAAGGTGGAGAGAAAGAGAGGGCGCATAATGGAGAAGACAAATAACAAGTTTTCATAGGCTTCGTTAAGTGTATGTTTGTTATTCTATTTTATTGCGCTGCATCTGTTATGGTGGCATAGTGCACTCTGCATTGTATGTTGAACTCAAGTCATGTGCCGCAGTACAGGCTGTGCACAAGACTGTCACTCAAAGCACAGCTGGCTCTAGCAAAAGAGTACAGACTATTTTTTTTTATGTCAGCAGTTGTCACGCAATGGAGCCATTTCGTATTTCACAGAGCAATCACCGCTTCTCATCTATGTGCTGTGCTTATTTATTTGAAATATGCCATTATTTGAAAGTGCATTAAATGAAATTAATATGTTGCCACCAGGAAGCTATCTTTCTGAGAAATCAGTATGGATTTCTCTGTAGCCTCATGTTACAAACAGATAGAATGACAATTTCTCTTTTAAATTCTCCTCCTTGTAGAGATTTCACAGAACTAATTTGCCAAAGATGTGCCTTTGCATTTACTAACTTGGTTTTTTTTTTTTTAACTACAGGTCAAAGAAATGCTGGAACTCCTGCCTTTCTGTTACACAAACTTCAAGAAACAGTTCATTGCAGCGATGTGTGTGAAGCTGGCAAAGTGTGAGCGATTCCCACTTCTCTGAAGCTTTCATTCGTTTGCTGATCAGTAGAGAGTAAATCCAACCAGAAAGTTTTCACAAAGTATACTCCGCTAAAAGCAGACATAGTACTTGGCTAAATAGGAATGTGCTGTCTTAGTTATGTGCCACATTATTTTATCAGTTATCACCACTTTCTCTTCAGGCTTTGTGCTAACAGAGAAAATATTGGTGTTTTCAGGCTGCTTCAAGTGCAGAGTTAACTAGCTTGTCCTATGTAACTGGCCTGCTTTCCATGCTCTTTATTTGCCTTAAATCTTCTTCTCGCTTAAACAGCTGCGTACAATTTCTAATGTCAGTTCCTTTTACTGGTGTCATAATCTTGTATATTTCCCATGTTTTGCAAGATGAAATGTGCCATCACAGAGAGCCATGGATACTCAAAATGAGCAATCCATCATACTCTTCTGCCTGTCTTCTTGTAGCCAACTGCAGCTGTTTTTTTTTTTTTTTCTATGCAGCTCACTGGGACTGACACGTAGCCTGTTTACATTATGTTGTAAACTGCTGAAGTGAAAGGACTAAGGCTAATTTCCTGAAATGTAGATGAAGTGAATTGAACAGCGATTCTTAAAAGTAAAAAAAGAAAGCCAATCAAAAATAAGTTATCTTAAAATAACAAGAAAAAAGAAAAATTACTGGTTACTGTTAGTAGACAGGCTTTTTGCTAGCACCTGTAGGCCCTCATAATCATATGCTGGTGTTGGGACGTCAAACCCCACATATCAATCGCACCTGTGGGCACAACAACATTGAATGAGGAGTGGTCCTCACTTTTCTCCTTCTAGCATTGAAATGGGCATGTTCTAGCGTGTACCAACCTGGAACTGAGAGTTTTAATGCTGCTGTTTGTGTAGATGTGGCATAACTTTCCAGGGTGACTTCACTTTGGCTTAGCAGGACTGACAGTTGGGCAAGTTGCCAATGGTTCATAATTGCAATTGCAATTGTAAAATTGCTGTTTTTTTTCTTTGTTAGCTGAATTGGCAGCTGAGCATTCACATGTGGCATTGATAAGTATGGAATCCGTTTATGTGGCTTGTGCACATGCGTGGTCTGCATGGTTGTGTGTATATATTTCTGCATGAGGAAGGACAAGCATGTATGTGTGTATTGATTATCAACAAGCTAGGCCCAAGTCCACTGCCTTAAGTTTAAAAGAAAGACCTGGTCCCCTTCCTGTCCCCTTTCCTTGACACTAAAGTAGACCTTTTCTATAACCTGCAAGTGCAGTTCCCTGCACTGCATATTCACCTAATGAATGGCAGCACCTGTTGTGCTTCAAGTAAAGATGAGATCCTAGTGTTGGGGTTGTATAGTATGCGTGTCTATATCAAGAGAGCTCGGCCTACATTTCTGTGCCATAGCGCAAGCAAAAAGCGCTCGGACACGCTGTTTGCAGTAAATGGTTAGCCGCCATTAGTTGGGCTAACTGCATCACAAGAGATCTAGTTTTACAGTTATAAAAAGGGTTTATAAAGTGAAACATAGAATCAATATAAACATGGATAATTTATTTTCTGCAAGCACTACTGCCATTATATTACACCATCACAGGTTTAGTAGTAGAAAAAAGTTAGTTCAAATCTTCATTTTTTATATTCTATATACTGAAGTCTCTGCACATGGACATCAGCATGACATCAGAGATTTTAAGGTGTTTTTTCATATTTCGGCCACATTGTGTCAATTAATTTAGTGAAACTTGGTACATTTGAACTCTAGTCTCTTTAGAAAACAGTGTGCTTAATTTCCATATATTAATAGCTATTTGAGCACTAGTAACTCATTGGGTTCCGCAGCTGATCTGCTAGCCAGGTTGGCGAGGCCAGAAGCACTTTGCTGGCCGCCTAGACAATGTTTATTTTTGACATTATTTCATAGATGGCAGCACAGTACTTTCTGTTTACCTTTTGCTTGGTATATTATCTGCCAGATGGACATAGTTGGCATGTTTTGTAGCTGTTTGTTGTGTGTTTTTTTTTTTTTCTTTAGAAGCGATGGGTGCACTATCCTGGCTTTTTCTTAACATGGCATCGTGGAAGAAACGTGGTTTGACGGGTGAAGAAATTATGAATATTGTGTTCGACAGTGACCAAGAAAGTGACATTTATGATGACGACAATGCTTTGTTAGACAATGGGGACTGCCAAACTGATGAAAGTGGTAGTGATCTCACTGAGGCCATTTTCGAAGAGGCCACTCTGCCGTTCTATTATGGTCGAATAAACTTGCCTGCCACGGTCTCACCAATACGCCTTCCTCGCCACATCCTGGCAAACAAGGTCGAGCAGAATCTATCAAGACTTTGCTTAGTTTGTAAGGCAAAGGGCGAAAATTCGGAGAGCTGATGGGAGTGTAAAAATGTGAAGTCACATGCTCGTATGCTTTACACTTTTTCACACACGAAAATCATACCGAAGCACCTGATGCAGTCAATCATAATTAAGTGAATCAAACAGATTTTGTTATTCTATGACTTTTGTTGTGGATTTTATTGCGGTTTAGGTGCACCGACTCATGCTGCCGGTTGGTGCGAAAATTTTCTGGCGGAGTACCAGGTGGAAACTGCCGCGGAGAGTGCCGAAGCCAATGAGTTAAAGGCTCATTTACACCTGAGACCATCAATTTTTGACCATTTGCAACCACTGACGAAAAAGTGACGCAAGCCGATTGGTTTTTCTACCTGCGAGCGACATATACCAGTCGTCATTTAGATTTCACATCTCCTCATATTGACATTGCGCTGTAAAGTAAAGCTGATGTCCTATTCCTGCACGTCTGATTGGTTCAGAGGTTTGCAACTACCGTCACCCAACTCACAAATCTAGCAGCTAGCAAATGAGCCAAAGCAGTCGCTCCGAAACGAAAGCACCCATGTGCAACCAGTCTCTTTGAAACTAACTTTGTCAGTTAACTCATGCTAGTTACAGGTGTGAGTGAGCTTTCAGGCCTTAGCAGATGCCATCAAAATCTGCAACATTGGAGCAAGTTGGTGTGGAAACTTTAATGTGGCATTGCCACCTGAATGTTCTTGGCATTTTCTTGCTTACCAAGTGCCTTCTTGTGGTAAAAGTTATGGTTTTGTCATTGTGAAATCTAATGCCCTATGACGAGAAAAATCATATTTCTCTTTTTTTCTCTAGTGTCTCTTCAAGCCCCGACTACAATGCCAGGTATATATACTCTTTAGGTGAGGACACTTGGCTTGCGAGGCATGTTCGACCACATAAAGTAATAACAGCATATGCCTGTACTGCTAGTGATGATAGCGGATATTTACTGGCAGAGTGATCTAACTTCAAGAGAGAAAAAAATGCTTTATGCACTGTAAACACCTTCCACTGTGCATTGTATTTTTTGCTCACCAAATTGGATGACATCGTTGCTATAGCAATGACTTTTTCTGTCTTGAAGGTGAGCTGTCTTGGTGATAGATCTCTGCTGCCGTCGCCAGACCAGCAGGAATGCGCCGCTGTTACTTTATGTGATCAATCGCGTCGTATGAGTGTCTTCACCTAAGAGTATATATCTCATACCATGGCGACAACTAAAGCGCAGTCAGGTTTCCATTGGAGGTGCATGCCGATGGTTGGTGATTAGGTGGGCATTGTCTCGGATAGGGTGCACTTATGCATTTCCATTATTTTTGCCATTTCTGCCATGAGGTGTTGCAAATGTAACTATATCTGCTGTGCACAGCTGTGAATTTTTGCTTTTTTGTATCAGTGGCCAGGGACGGAGACAAGCTAAGCCAGCACTTATTTCGAATGGCAGGAAAAGACCTGGCAGACCATGTTGTAGCAGTTTTGCCTCATGCAGAAAAGGTATTCATTTCATTTTGGTTGCTATGCTTTTTAGCTTTATTTGAGCATGTTTAACACCTGTAAAAACAAGAGTTTAAGCCAAAGACGACCAAAATGACAACATTACAATAATACTTCTGTCCTGTGTAAACATTTTACAGATGCTGAGCTGTATACTCTTAAAGCATTAATTTTGAAGTATTTCTAGATGTAACAAAGTCAAGGACATAGCCTTAGCACGCATGCACAAAATATGCATTTGGTATGTCTTTTGCTGTCTTACTTTGATCGCAACTGTTTCAATGCAACAGGATAATGATACCGTGTTAAGCTTCAATCCGTCATTTACTACGTGTGCTTTGTTACTGTTGTGTTCTCACACTCGACTAAATTTCCCATTTTGATAGAACACAGGCATGCACACAGCATGAAAAATGGGACATTTGTTTTATCTTTCTAGTGAAGCTACACAGTTTTATTCAGTTATTTCATGCCGATTCCAAATATGTAGTAATTTTTGTAGTTGGTTAATTGCTTCCACAGTGAGTAAAATAACTTTCTCGGCAGAGTAGAGCAAAATCAACTTGCCTTATTATTGATTTAGGCCCATGTCATGCTCTAGGATATTAAACCTTTACAATATTAATAATGCATCTTACAGCATAACGTATTTCTACAAAAAAAAAATAGAATTGAAGTACCAAAATATGCTTGATTATTGTGTTCATTATGCATTTAGCTACTTGCTGTGACATAAATTATAGTTCCGGATATCCTGATGGCTGAGGAATTGCTCTGAAAAAAATTGTAAAGAGCCCAAAATTAATGTTTTAGGAAATGTATAAATCAAACAAGGCTCATTTTGTAATGAAATATTTTTATTTAAATCAGTAATAAATGTTTTTGTTGCATTCCTAATAACCACTATGGGTATAATCAGTCGGCTTTCAGCTTTAGCGTACATCATTCAGCAACAGCAGAACATTAAAGGAGCCACTTTACTGTGCTTATATGGGCTTTAATATAGCTTGTAATGAGGATGCAGAGTGGTATTGTTGTTAGTATACCAGCCCAGGATGTGGGAAAATTCATGTGTTTGTGGCAGATGGTGGTAACAGTAGTAGCTGTTAATTTTCACAATAAAATGTAGTTTTACACTAGTAAGGATAAGGAGCATGGTGATGTTGCCAAGAAATGTACCAAGTACAAGCATCAGGTAATGAAAAGCTTTTGAATTTGGGTGTAGATTTTGAAATAGTTATTTATCATGCTGCTAATGAAAAACATGATTACTCACTGTGTTGAGGCAACAATAGCTGACTCCGATCTCGCTGCGAGTTGAGCAGTCACCATTGTGGCATACGAGCTTTCCGAGAGTTGGTTCAATGGCTGTGAAGTTATCTTCTCTGCCTTATCACATCTCCTGCAGGGTAAACAAACTCAAGAGGGCTAACCTTTTGTGCAGTGGACTAGTTTCGTAGGATGTGCAGCTATGTGGTGCTTTTTTTTCCAGGTAGTCAATGTTTGGTTTAAGTATAAGTATAGCTGAGCACACAGAATAAGGTAGGAGGCATATTCAATGATTTATTTACTCAGTTACTCGAGGCCTCTTTATATTTGAAGTAAGGAATAATAAAAGAGGGGTGTGGTGTAGTACTAATACAAAGCATAAACAAAACTAATAATGAAAGCCTGTCAATAAAATAAACTAATGTTCTAAGCATAAGTGTACATGTCAGAATAAATTTGAATTGAAGGTGCATCAGATTAATGTGTACGCTTTCAAATAGATTTCAGTGAGAAATTTAAGCCAACAAAAATGCTAATGAAAAAATCTTAAAAGTGCAGTGTTCATTGTCACTTCAGAAAGAGAAATGCAAATTTATAATAGAAACAGACATACAAAGAAAAGAAATGAATGATTGTGTGCTGTGTCATGCCATGATGCTTAGCTCAATCTTGGTGTAACTTTTTTTAATTCGACTTTGTGCTATTGCATGCTTTAATTTTTGCATCACATATGTGATACCAACCAGCTCAGTGTCACACATTGTTGCAGTGACACCAATTAACTCATTTTGTCCCATTCAAACAACCTCAAATTTACGGTTCCATAAAGGCAAGTTTGTATGTACAGGTTCAAAGTGGTGGCTTTTTAAATTAACATATAACCAATTGAATAACATGGATCTAAGCTATTTCATTTGTGGCTGTGAAAGAGTGCCAGTAGAGGACAGATTGATGTCTTGTCCAACTTCGAACACCATTCGAACCCAAAATGATATAAAATTATGACCAATTAGGCACAATGTCTTGGCAACTTCGTTAATGCCCACTGTATTACATTGGAAAGCACTATAAGTTATCATTTGTTATTTTTATTTAATTTTATTTATTTAAGGAGGGGGGTGTTTTAAGTTCAGCAGCTTTTCTCCAATTTCAGCTACACTAGCACTTAGTGTAGAGAAGGCTCCGAGTTCTTTCTTTTAGAGGATCTGCAGTTATCAAAATGAATTAAAATGGCCTGTAAAGGAAGACACATGTAAAAATGTCGAAAACAGAAAAGCATTCATCTTGGTTATGAGGAGAGACAAAGTGTACACAGAAGCTACATGTGGCTTTGAGAGGCGGAGTCACTTTGCAGGAGACGCTCGATGGATTTCACGGCCGATGGTTGTCTCATCCGCAATGCCTTCTCTTCAATGACCACTCTTCGATCAGAGCCCTGTCCGCGAAATTCTTCAACGGTCTCCTAATCTTTCATTTTCTCTATCATCTCTTTTAATCCCTCCTTATTCCTCCCCTTGTGAACCCGTCACAATCAACGCACAAAAAGGACAAAAAACACAAGAAAGTGCACGAGACAAGCACTGTCTAACAACTGAAAGTTTAATGAAAGAAACATGTCATATACAATATATGCAAACATGAAGGCATAAAAAAACCTTGACACCCCCACCAAGCACGTAATTAAGTATACTTTAGATACGAAATCTCAGCATCTGTAAAAGCGATTAAACAGCATACTTGATTACATGCTTTGGGGGTTGTCAAGGTTTTTTTTTATGCCTTCATATATGCATATCTCTGACACCTTTCTTCCATTAAACTTTCAGTTGTTAGACAGTGCTCATGTCGTGCACCTTCTTGTGTTTTTTTGTCTCTTCTTTATGCGCTGATCATGATGAATATGTTCCAACTAGCCCAATTTGCTACTTTACCCTTGTGAACCACTGATGAGGTGTCCCACTTTGCCGGAGAGTGCTGCAGGGTTCACTTTCTTCTTCGTTTACTCTTTTACAGCCACTAACCCCAGTCACTTAGCAGGAAAAACTGAGTGAAAGAAAACCCAAATGTAGTGAGGGATGCAGCCGAGTGGGAACTAAAATATCAAGTGCAGCTCTAGACAAGTGCCCCTCAATGTGACCTTTAATGCACTCAAACTACTAGTAATCTTGTGCTGGCTGGACATTGCTTTGAAACTACTAGAAGCAGCCACACAGGCTTTGAGAAGGCATCAGAAGGTTTTATAAATCACAAGAAGCGTTGATGTATTTGTGGCTTCTATAGTAGCATGTTGGACACACTCCTGACATATGCCCCCATATATTGCAGTTGTGGCATGCAAATGCTTCTCTCTGACAAGTGTGCGATTCCGTGGCTCTGCAGCAGATAACTTGTGGTTGGTGGTGCTGTCACCTCTATACGCACTCATGAAATGCATTGATATAGCTTCAGTTCGATGCTTGTTGCTACATTGGCAGCCTCATGTACGACTCTCTCTTGGTTCATGTTGAAAGAGCACATGTATTGGCAGTTTCATCTAATTTTGCACTACTGCCTTACAGAGTCTCTTGGAAGGCGAAGGTGGCCTTCCAATAGTCTGTGTTGGATCAATTTTCAAAAGCTGGGACCTTTTGCAGAAAGGTAAGTTGTAGCACAACAGAGTGTTGGAATTATATGGCTAGTAGTACTTGGTTCGGATACACTAAATAGCCCAACATAGTGCATTGCTAGGTTTGGTCCACATTCAGTAGGTATAATGCAACAGTGGTTAAGCCCTTCAATCCTGGGAGGACTTGAAGGACAGTACACTGAAAGCACATCCATTAAATCAGCCCACAGCTGTGTTGGTGTGCAGCATGGTAGCTTCTATTAAGCTGTATTTAGTCACAGTTCTCCATTATAAGGTTTTCACAGACACTAAAGAGAAAAATTGTCCAATCACTAAAAGTAAATTACACTTCCACCAAGTTAGAGAATTCATTCTTAATCTAAGAAGAGGCTTGACAAGACAGGAGGAGAAAATAAAGGTTAATGGTGAGCCTGTACGGTGCGCGTGTACTAGCTCACCGTAACGTCGCAAATTTTGACGATGTCTGCTTAGTCTCCGTAAATAACTATTGCAGTGTAGTATAAAAGAGTGAAAGATTACTCTAAAAGCTTAACGAACGTTTACTGACCCACACTCGTCTAATTATGATGATAAAAATTGTGTAACATTTCTCTGTAGTGCCCCTTTAATGTTTGGAACCTGTGAAAAGCCTGTGCTGTAATATTGATGTTCTGGTGGCATTTGACAGTGGCCTGGTACTAGCTAGTGTCTGTGAAACAGTATGGGAAGTCATTCATTTCTTTTTTTCAGGTTTTGAAGAAGTGCTCTGCCCCAAAGTTTCAGAGTTCAGTCTCCTCCAGCCAACTGTATCGGCTGCACTGGGAGCTGCATTCTATGGGGCTTCATTGGTTGACTGCAAGCTACCTATCAACTTCAAAGAGAATTCCAGGCGTCTATACCATTTCAAATGGGGCAGCGAGCAAAACTAGGTCTGGATGTATCTTTTTGTGAGCATGTCTATAATGGGTGGCAGGAAATCAAGCTTTGGTTGTTACCTAGAAAAGGTATGGGCTACATTTTTAATAGCATCTTTTCAGCAGCGAAGCTACTACAAGGGATGCCATCATGTTTATGGACAAAAAATTTTTTACATAATAACAATGAGTGATGAAAAATATGTGCCTTAGTGCTTTTTATATTTTTCTGAACCTTGAAGGTTGACATTGCAATTTTGTTTTTTATGTCAGTGTACCCTCACTTGTGAACTCAAGCCTCTGCTCAAAAAAGGCTTGTCTTCTTTGCCTTTTTATACCCAGAGAATACTTGTTTTCCTAATGTGGTTTACATTGAGCATGTGGCTGTGCATATGCATCGCAATACACTTTGTGCAGTCTATTGGAGCAGTGGTGATTTTAGTTTTCATTTGCGAATTTAAAAAAAAGTATACTTTCATATATCACCACATTTTCAAGTCCAGTGTGCCCGTGCTTTTCAACGTATAAGTCATGATTCCAAGGAGGGTCGCCACATATTATTCGGTGAAGGGGGTCATCAGAAGTAGACAGAACACTTTATAATGGTTCACAGACTGCTGTTCTGCATCACAAAACAGCTGATTCAAACAGAACCTTAGATGTTTTGATGTGCTGGATGAACATGAACACTTGAGTGAACGATGCCTCTCAGTGTATCAAAGGGTATCTTTGCTCTGAAACTTTGCTCTAGAGCAATGCTTGTTTCTGATACTTTTAGAAGAGAGAAATAAGCAAGTCAGTGCAACATATAACTCAAGCCTGCCAAAGATATGTCCCCCATATTCCGAAACGTCCCTCCACTCAAGGCTTCACCTTCACTTGAGAAAGCCAATGGGAGCGCAGTCTTCTGGCAGAGCAAGTCACTGCATATCGCCGATAATCTGCAGAGATTCTTGAGAAGTGCTGCATAATTTTCAGTTGAGCAGTGGCATAGTGCTCAACTCTGTAAAGCGAAGGATGAAAATGTAGTCAAGAAGTGTTTGTGAATACGGGAGTACTTGTTCACCCGGGCCACTCGAGAAATTTTGGCTGATTTGGCTGGAAGATACACCCATCTTTTGGGGGGGGGGGGGGGGGTGAGCAACTAGAGACGTCTTCAGGCCCTTTTTACAGTGTACGCATCCACAGTATGCATTCCATTTTATATTTTTCAAAAAATGTGCTGCACAGCTTATTGGAGAAAAAAAGCAGAAGAAAAGCATGGAGACCTGAGTGTACACACGTTTCGAACTCATTTTGTTATTTTGTGAATGTTGAGCCAAGTTTTACGGACAAATTATGTTCACTCATCTGTCCTTGAAGCATTTGTCAGCAATCTTGCAATAGTGGAAGGATGCAAGAGGTGCTATTGTCTCGTGTAAGTCTATACAAAAGTTCCTGAAGCAGACATAACTAGCGACACTCAAGTTCTAGGAGAATATTGCTGACCAAAACAGTGTGCTGCCTGACAGCACTTGTTGTGCCAAGTTTGTTGCCGCATTCTTCTTCATCTAGAAGTAAATCACCTTTAATGTTTAGGCGAGATAACCACTGGTAATTAAGCGTAACTGACTGTATTCCCAGAGAAGGAAACCGGACCAGGGGGAGACTGAAAGTTAGGTGGGCTGATGAGATTAAAAAGTTTGCAGGTATAAAGTGGAAGCAGAAAGCACAAGACCGGGTTGATTGGCGGATCATGGGAGTGGGCACAGTCAGGCTGATGATGATGATGTGTGTGTGTTTGTGTGTGTGTGTGTGTGTGTGTATATATATATATATATATATATATATATATATATATATATATATATATATATATATATATATACACACACACACACACACACACACACACACACACCTTGCCTCCCCTCCCGCAATATACAGATCAGTGTCATGTATGTGAAATTTAAAGGCTGGCATGTGTGATATTCACTTTTATGCTCTAACACCACATACAATTTTTTTTTATTGTAACTTTCAAATCCATGTTACAAAAAACGTCGCAAACACTTGTTTGGTCCCATAGCTTAACTGGCTAGTAGAGGGACCAATTGTGTGACATACCTACATGCTTGCCGAAGCTGTTACACAGCGACAAAGGACATCAAACTGGATACAATGTCTAAAAATAGAAAAAAAGCAAAAAACACATGATTGAATTATACAAAGAAACATAGCATAGAACATAGCTACTTATAGCACAGAATAATAATAGCACTAGAATAATACTAATCATAATAAAAATAATAATAATACTAAATGACTATACAGACATATTACTTAGAAAGTTCGCCTAATTCCTAATTTCATTTAATATTTATATTTTGTCTCATGTTATGGTTGTGGCTGAAAAAATGACATGATTTATTTCACTTTTATCAAATTTTGCCTGGTCAACATTGACCATGTCAGTTGCAAATGGCCCCTTTCCATAACGTGCAAAAAAGAGCCAGTCATTATTAAGAAATTTGACTCCGATCAGATGCATTTCCCATCAAACAAATGTTGTGTGGCTGGGAAATGAGAAATCTGTAATGCCCAGGAGTGTTACTATGCATGGCCAAAGCTACTGAAATTACCTGTTATGTTGCAGATGATTTTCTTTCTGTGTCATACAAAGGTGACAAAATGCAGTTGTCACTCTTACCCTGCCATTTGTATACATCTGTTTTCGACACTTGTTATTATTGCACCGATACATCAGTACTGTTCAATGGAACCTCTGGATGGCAAGTATGTCTATTTGTTTATGATTGTTCAGATTTTTCATGTTTCTGGCAAACCATTTCTTGCAACCTTCACCCACTCTCTCCTGCTTTATTGTAACCACTTGCAGGAGTTAAGTAAGTGAAATGTCAGCATTAATTAGCTGTAAACAAAAAAAATGGTGTGGAAAGTTTAGTGCTTTTTCAAGAGCAAGCCTTTCTATAAAAATAGAAACTTGACTGGTAGAGTTAGAGGATCTGAAATTTAAGACATATAGTTGTTAATTTTATTACTCGTTGCAGTCCTATAACAATATGTATGATTAAAATAAGTTGTTCCTTCTGGCAATCTCTCTTTTGTGCTGTAGTTGTGTGATCTAATTTTGATACTGTGAGGCTCAAAGCTGGACAGCATTGATGGTTAAAATCTGCCTAAAATGGTTTGCTTGGTTCTAGTGAAGCAGTCTGTCAAAATTTGTAACCTATTATACCGTAGGCAGGTGACCCCTGAATGAGCTGGCCCTTTACCCTTGTCACCTTTCTGAAATTGCGTCAGAAGAGTTAATTGCAAATTTTGATACTGAAGAACAAGTTGTCATGATTGTCATAGAAATCATCTGTGAAATATGAGGAATACAGTGCAAACATAGGATGTTGTTACGTGCAATTTTCGTGTAAACTTGAAACTGATTAGACAAAAAAATGTGATTAGAACAGTACACTCGCTAAACAAAAATTTGTTGAATGGAACTGCTGCTTAAATGTAACAATTGCTTCCAGCACAATTGGTTTCTAAAAGTCTCCACCCTTGTTCATCTTTCGGTAAATGGAACTCCTGTTGAATGGAACACATTTTCCTGGTTTCTTCAGGTTCTGTTTAACGAAAGTCTACTATGTCTTGCCACCCTAACTCTGCACACATTCAAACAGCTGAAAAACTAAACCATATATATATATATATATATATATATATATATATATATATATATATATATATATATGTATATATATATATATATAAAAACTTGGTTATAATTGAAAAACATGTACATTTTGGTTTTACTTTAAGTGTAAATGTTTTAAGTAAGAACACTTGCATGGGCAGCCATTCAGGAAGACCGACATTCAAGAGGTTCTTCTAGATGCTAATTTATTGCTGGCCTAAAGCTGTTTCTACTTTGCAAGCCTCAGATTGAATGAATGAATAAACTTTATTTTCGTATCTGGCATGTTTGTGGTCTGGGCTAGACCGCCAAAGAGGTACTGGGAGACCTTGTCTCTGTACAGCCTCTCTGGCCTGCTGGATAGCCCATTTTTCGGTCTTGACCCCCGAGCTGAGCAGCGCAAGCCGCCACTGCTCCCAGAGTCCCGGAGGGCCTCAAGAAAAATTGTTGATAATTTGGGGCATTCCCATAACATATGTTTGCAAGACGCATTTTCTGTTACACATAGCGTACATTTATTGTCTGGGTATAAGTGTGGGCAGCTCCTGTGGAGGTGCACAGGGTTCGGTTAAGAGTTAGTCTATAGCTGTCGGTATTCCGATGCTTCTGGCCTGTTTAGACTCTGGTGATGTGCGGGAAAGTCGCACCTTGCTTTTCTGTAGTGTTGCATGTATTCTGTGTAGCTTTTAAATCGGTTTTTGCGTGGTACGTCAGCGGCGCCAGGGATGATCACCGAACAGTGTGGTTGGTTGCGCAGGGGGTTAATTTTCGCGACAACTCATGAGCCTGCTCATTCGGATTGGTAAATCAGTCTCTGTGTGCACCAGGAACTATACGAGGTATTTGGGTTCATCTACTTTGCATAGTTCTTGGTTATTAACGATGATTCTAAGGGCTTGTTGTGAAATCTGTCCTTGCATAAAATTTTTTATGGGTACTTGCAAATAGCTCAGAATGAATGAGTGTTTGTTGGAGGCGATAGTCATGCTATGTCTACCTTCTCAGCCTCCTCTATATTGTTTGTTATGACAGAGCACACATTAATACAAATGCCAGATGTGTCGATCAGGACAGCAGTGTAAGCCTTTTGTTCAGAGTATGGGCTAGCATCTACAAAGAAAGATTTACTGTTCATGTTGTGTGCTTTGACCAGTGCTTTTGCTCGGCGTTTTCTATGGTCCGTGTTGATAATGGGGTTCATGTTTTTTGGTATGGGGTTAGAGACGATCTTAGCTCTGATTGTATTGAGGATGTCATGTTTGACACCATGTTGTGCATGGTACATGATTCTTAATCTACTCATTATATTTCTTTGTTTTAGTTTTAGTGAGCGTTTCAAGCTGAAACCCTCAGATTCGTGTGAAACTTTAGTTAGCATCTTTTTAACTTTTGAACTGTAGAATTGAATGTTAGGGCATGATAATATGAGTACTTTGTACGGGAAGAAGTACCTTAGCAGCAGAATTTATCCTGTCCAGTTATTTTTATATTTTATTTGTTAATGCTTTTATTATTTTAGTCTGTTCTGAGACAAACCTTACAGACCCATGGTGTTCGTGGCAAAGAGCCTTGACTTTGCAGTACAACATGGTCGTAACCCATCACTGCAGCAGTTGTCACTCAGCAACTTAGGCTAGGGTGTACCTTTCACCATTGAGAACGGCTGTCTTCATACGGTTTCTGAGCCTTTTCAAGTTTTCTGGCATTTAGAGTGAACACAACTGGATGACTGCTTTCTAAAGAAATGCTGTCAACTAAAGGCCAAATCAAGATTAATGACATGCGAACAAAAATTTTGGAACTAGAACCTGGGCTCCACGTTTTGAGACATTTTACTGTTTAGCCTTCCCAGAGTAAAAGCCTGTCCACCTGCTGAAGTGATAAGTGCACTCGCTGGAAAGTACAGATATATGTATGTTTAATGCTTATTTCTGTTTCAAATAGATTCAGTGTATGATGGCTTGCATTACATTCAATGAGTATGTTTATTAAACATCAGGCTATGAAGTTTAGATGTGTTGGCACGCTTTGCACTGTACCTTGTACTGAAACATATTTGCACACTCTTTTGGTTATCCACTCCCCTGAACCTCATTTTAGGTTTAACTGGTAACTGCCGTACTGATTTACCAAAACTTAAGTA